TCTTTCTCTCTACTTTTTTTTTAAAAAAAAATCTCTCTCTCTAGGAACTAAGACAGTCAGAAATAAAACATGAAGCCTCTGATTCGCCGCCTCTCACAAATCGCTGACTCATCCTCTGATCGATGCAACCAAATCCGGCGCCGCGATGTCCATCACCCGACGGCGAACGCATCGCCGTCAGTTTTCTCGGTGAAGCGAGCAAACGTGGCATCGACAGTCCCTTCCGGTCTCGTTCCGGTGAACGTCGGCGAAAAGATGGAAAGGTTCGTGGTGAGTGCGGAATTGCTGAACCACCCTGTTTTCGTTGGTTTGCTCAATCGATCTGCTCAAGAATACGGTTACGCTCAGAAAGGAGTTCTTCATATTCCCTGTAACGTCTTCGTCTTCGAGCATATCGTGGAGACTCTCCGATCTGGAATCGCTCTTGATCTACCGGAGCTCGTCCCTTCCTTATCCGGCGACGATTTGTCATTGTGGTTACCTGGCGGCACTACAGAGTAGTCGTTGATTACTCTGTTTCTCGTTTTTCTTTTTGGTTTCTTTGGATTTCGAATCTTGGTGGATATACAACAATTGTTCTTCGATCTTCTCCTTTTTTGTACTGATTGAGAATGAGAGTTTTTTTCGATTATATCCCCGACTTTTTTTCGATTGATTAATGAGAAAGAAAACTGAAAACCACAATAATGTAAGTTATTTACTACTTATTTCATTTTTAACAAAATGCAAGTTATCCACTTTATACTTCACTAATATAATGCATCTTAATCATTTTAAAGTTTTTAAGTCTAAGGAATTAATAAATCAAAACAGATGTTGACTCTACTTCCATGATATCGTCCCAGCACCTAACACAAAAATGTTGGGGTATATGATATACGATGTCAATCTTGCGTGGATTAAGCCACTATGATAAAAATAAAATACAACTTTCATTACTTGACATATACTTGTTTATCAAATATGTATACAAATAGTCATAATAAAGTGGATATTGATTTCACAAAATCAGACAAACTATTAGAAGAGACGAAGGATTTTTATCACAAAACTAAGAATCTAAAATAGTGATTTTCTCACGCAATTATATATGTTTTTAAAACAAACAAGGGATAAAATGTCTCACATCGTCGCGTTGTTTTTGTTCGGATGGTTCGATTTGTATGCTTTGTTCTCGAGAACATCTCTCGTCTCTTCCAATGTTATTGTTGTTTTGAACTTTTGATTATAGGGTATACCGTATACTGTATAGATTCCAAAACCGTTTCCCTTTTATGGGTGTAGACTAAAGAATGTCATTGAAACCGTCGGCTTTGTAATCTTTTATTTGAAACGACTTGATTTAATATAATAGTATACATAAAAATAAAAAATAGAGTCTCACATGGTCGTGTGTACCGTTGTACGGCTAGAGTCTTGGTGGGAAACAATGTTCTCTTTCTTGTTCAAAGCTGACAACATGTAACAGCTGAGATTAACAATTCTATTTTAATTACACGGTTCATAGATGTGGCGACCCGTGTGTAGATATAAGATGATATTTGCGTTTTTTTTTTTTAAACTCTAAAGCACATGTATGACTATGTTGTTTGTTTCGTCCTGATGATCGAATCTTATACAGCGTTAGTCGAATTTAAATAAACTGGAATAATCATAATAATATCTACATTTTTTATTATTTTAAAAAGATTCGAGGATTACCAAGGCGGATACAGTATCATCAAAATCCACAAACATTTACAAATAGATTAAACAAAATTTGAAATTATGCATTTTTTATTTAAGCGCAATTCATATAACTTAATTATAATTTTACTACGTATAAGATTATGGTGAAACACGTTGAGATACAGTGAACCAAACAGAAACAGTATATGATGTATCAATCGATGATCCTTCATGGGATCCAATTATCTCGTGGAGCCAGCAACAACCGTTCCATCGTTTGGAATCTGGAAGCAATAGTTGAATATATATAAACCAGAATTCATATACATATACACAATTTGTTTACTTATTAAATAAGTTTCCATGATTACGGATTACCACGATGGATTTGAATAAAAGACCCCCTTTTCATCAACAAAAAAATTCTCAAAAGTAGATTGAACAAAATTTTAAATGATGCATTTATAATCTTTAAGCAATGTATAACATTAAATTGGAAAAAAAAAGTGTTCTTCAATTTTTCTTCTTATATTTAGGGTTCTTAAGTTTCTTCTTCACCACGTTAATCTGTTTCTTCAGAAGTTTTTTCTTCTCCATTCTCACTCTCTCGTCCTCTTCTATATCTCGAAGAATAGTAAAACTCTCTCTCAACTTCTTGTTGAGCACAACCATGTCGACTTCCGGAACATTCTTAGTTTCGTCACCACAACTCTCTCGTTTCAGTTTGTTGTTCAATTTCCGGGACTCGTTCTTAGGCTCAAACGATTCCTTTGCAAGAGAGTAATCTGCAAACGCCTGTTGTGGAGTCACCGCAGAAAGAAACGTTTGATTCTGAGAAGTGTTCATGCCGGAGATTGTTGAAGCCATCGTTGAGATCGCCGGATGATAATGTTTGGTCAAGAGATTGAGCTCCCAGAGCACTGTTGCTAAAGCCCCGCTTAAGTTGGGATCTGTGGCGTATGGCTGATATTTCTGCAATCGAGCTTTCGCGATCAGTGAGTATATATTCCGTAATAATTACATTTTTATATCATGAGTAAATATTTGTCACTTACTGCGATTGAACCGGAAACAGAGCCGCCTCCAGCATCGTTCTCTAGAAGGTTCCTGCATTTGACGTTCCTCTGGAGGAGATTTTTCACGGTGACAAGCGCTGTAACAAATTGCAGAATGAGACTTGGCTTGAGATAAAGTAATATGTGAATATGTAAACCAAAGTGTTGGTAATGTTTGTTACCTGACATAGACTCGGCACAGCCAAAGCATAATGCGAACGTGGCTAGACGTTTTACAAAAGCGGCTGTCTTTTGCATGTCTTGATGTCTGTCGTCGCACAACATTATCTTCAAAGACTCGGCCAACACTTCACCTGAATCTCTGTTTCGCATCACAAAAAGGTGTTTTTAGAGTCAACTATACATTCAGCTCTATGTCGCGGTTAAAAGAGGAAAAAGTTAAAACAAACCTTCCAGGGCGGTACTCGAGGAGGAGGTTGTAAAGCTGGACAAAGAAGTCTTGTAAGTCAACGTTCAAGGCATTTAAGTTGCTCCTCATGACTTTGAAGGCGACAAGGCAACACCTTAGCCGTTCAGATACTGTCAACAGTTTTGAGTTCTTCTGCTTTGAGTTGTTAGACACACTACTGCTAGAAGCAAGCTTCTTTAGATAATTCATGAGATCCCCAATGTAGTCCAAGTCCAATTGTTGGGTGAATTTTGCCAACCCATCCAAGCATGGAGCAAGCAAAGGGTGTGATCCAAAGGCACCAGGATTTGTAGCTGTGTCTGCTTCTGTGCTGCAATAAGTCAAAGCGACGACGTCAAGAAAATTTTTAAAACCAATATTAATAAAGGCATAAAGCTATATAACCATTTATCTGTGACTGCAAAGCCAATGAGAATTCACACGAAGAATTTGATAGAATCGATTTGCAGACGGATAATAGTAGATTTTGGATTTAATTTAAGGCAAGCATTCTTTAATTCATATTCACGACACTGGAAACACAAATTCTTAAACAGCTATAACAATCTATGAAAATACCTTTCGCCGATAGAATACATTGTATTTCTCAGGATACGGAAATAGGTCTCAAAAACAGCAGAAAGTGTCTCTATCTGCATCTTTCGCCGCTCCATAGCATCCGGTTCATAGGTAACACCCTTGTAATCAGCAGCAACCTGAAAAATGTCATCAAGATATATCACTTTAGCTCAAAGGAACAGTACGACCGGAACCCATTTTAGATCTTATGGTCAAATAAATGGTTGTCAACACGAGGGAAGAATATATCAACGTCAAATCTCCCACAAGCAGATCTATTGCACAAAAAAGGAAAGTAAATTACCTCGTCTCTGATCTTAGACATCATTTCTCGCTTCGATTTCTTCCTCTCATTTTCCTGCACTTGATTTTGCTCCTCTTGCTTATTTCTCTTATTGTTTTTCCTATATTTCTTATTTTCATCCTCTCTGTCACGCTTTCCAATATCCTCGTCAAAGCGTATGGACATGAACACCTAAGAACAAAAACGGAGCCAAGGGGAATTGACAACAGATTCTTGGAGAATACTTCCCGAATTATTACGCGCCTTGTATTAGTCTTACGATATGTTTTCAAATGAAAATGTTAATTTCGTGATGTAATGCGTGGTTGTTAGAATGTTGAAATAAGACCAATAGATACCTCAATAGAGTTAGGATGAAGTTGGCAATTTTGAGATTTGACTTGATCAGCAATCAAGCGTACAGCTTGCACGGTCAGCTCACCACCATGTTTTCCTTCATTGGAAAAAAGAGACCTAATGGTAGAGCAACAGAGTCTCCTGCAAACATAAACGGCCGATAAATAGGGACGAAATATATGCGTTTGCCGTTAAATGACATGGTCATGACAAAAGGAAATATCAACACTTCTACTATGGGTTAGCTTCGATGATATATCAGATGGACATTATTTGTATTCTCTGAAAAAGTCAAAATAACCAGGACCTTACGACTTCGTCTGGGGAGCTAATATTTCTGACAACAGAAATTAACAAGTTATCACGGTAGTTGAAGTGAGGAACCGCATCTAGCAATGTACAAAGGCACCGAGTGGCAACTTGGTTATATACTGACTGCTTTTCTAATACAACCAATTTTTGCAGATATGCCTGTCAAGGACATCAGCAGCAAAAGAAAATGTTATAATTATATCCAGACCAGAGGAATCAATAATCAAATATAATTGATATGCATACCTTGTACGCTTTTAATAAAGTTGACTCATAGAACCGGGTTTTCTTTACTTCCTTTGAGACCTTCATCTCGAGCTCCTTTTCTGTAGGAAGTCTAATCCGATAGCTGGCACCACCAACAAATCAAAGATGTAAACTCCAACATCATAAAGGGAGACAATTAAGAGACTGAAGCAAATTAAAATGAGGAAATAATGGGGGATAGAAATTATAACTACCCAGGAATAATATCTTTGAATACGGCCAACACAGATAACAAGCCAAGTTTCACTATCTTTGTATTCTCGTCTTTGGAGATCTCTAACATTTCCTTTAAGGATTTTATGTTTGCCTCTGGATCAGATAGTAGTTGCATTCCCAGCTCCGCGAGTTTGTTTTTTTTATTTTCAAACGTCTCTTCAGCAGATAGTTCTTCTTTCACTTCTGCCTGACAAAAGAAGAAAGTCATTCACATGTTAAAAAATGAAAGAAACACATAAAAAACACTGGAATACTCAAAATCACAAAACACCTAATTCTCAGCATAATCAACTAAGTGATTCATGTTTCTCTAAATGGAAAGGCATTAGCAAGGTAAGATGCACAATGCTATCAAATATGATGCTCATTGAAAAAAAACATGTCAAAGAGTGAAAAAATGAAGCTTATAGTAGCTTATATAATGAACAAAAAAAAGAGACTCAAAACAGGCATCACCAGAACAGCTGCTTGAGGTGTTTCTTCCTCTTGTACGATCTCCTCAGGAAATTCCTTCTCTTGTTTCTTTGCCTCTTTTTTACTCTTTTTAGCTTTTGCTCTCCTTTGAGATTTGTTCAATGTATTTTCATCTTCAAAAGCATCCTTTTCTAGTTCTTCTGTGTCGCCATCAGCAAGTTTTGATGTCTTTAACACTGAACCATTACAAAACACAACCAGTAGGCATCAAAAAGAAAGACCACTGATAAGAATTCTATATCTGTGCGACTAAACAACGACCAGAATATAGTTTTCGTTGATTACCCGTTCGATAATGGAGTTTTCCATCTAAAGTCTTGACAGGGAGCACATCAACAGGATCCACTTGGATCTCATTATTCCCTTTCCCTTCTTGTTGTGCCTTCTTCTTTGATCGTTCTTCCTGATACTTATCTTCCACTGTCTTTGGTTTAAGGCTGCATTGCCTGGCAACAGCAGAAACAAGATATCATCAATACAGAGATGGAAAATAACCACTGTATATAACAAGACCTCTTTTTCATACCAACAATCTGATCAGATAAGATAGTAGAAGCCCCATCGCCAATAGCTTCCGGGTATGTTGAATATTAAACCTATTCGCTAACTCAGAGTGTGAGCAATAAAGCAACCACTAACACATAATGAATTTGAAATTGGACCAGCTATCAAGTACAAAAAGCTTCAGACTCAACGCGGATATAGCAAGAACTGTTACAATCAAACAAAAATCAACCATAACACTCTCTTTTTTTGTCAACTATCAATCATGATACTCAAAAGCAACAAATTGCAGAAAATCCAGAAACAAACATTAAAACCTGATTCAAACAGCACGAAATATCTCGAGAGAAATAGAGGCACCTGTTGATAGCACCGGTGTCAATTCGAGTGACGAATCGGGCGTAGTCAGTGTTCTCTTCGACGAACTTCAAATCCTCGTCGGAAAACTCAATATCCTCTTCGGGAACATCCGGAGGAAGCTGCGGTGGAGGTATAGTCTTCTGTTTACGCCGACTTTTCCCCATTATCTCCACAAATTCAGCAGTAGCAACGGAGAAGAGGTATTAATGTAATAGAAAAATGAAAACTGTCGACACAAAATCGATGAACTTGACTAAAATTAGGGTTTATGGTTTTGGTGCCGAGAAAGAAAATATCGACATAATATTAATGGGCCAGGCCCATTTATGCAAAGCGCTAAGTCTGTATCGACCCAAAAAGGTCTCTCCAGATAAGAAACGACGTCGTACAAAAAATCATTTATCTTTCCTTATCTTTTTTTCCACCATTTATTTTTCATTGTTTCAAATGTTCCATAATGAAACTTTGACCGGAAATTTTTTTAATGGAAGGGACTAGTTATTTATTATCTTAAACTTTCACATTTTATGATGTGACAAACTAGCTAATCACGTGAAAATAAGAAAAAATAAATAAAACAGTAAAATATTTATATGATATTTTACGTTTTTTTGGGAATTTTGCCTGAAAAGCAAAGAAGAAATAAGAATAAGCCAAAACCAATTAATGAATGAAGCAATAAGTTGACACGTGGATTTTAAATGTCTTCCTAAGGAAAAACCAAAATTCATAAATGTAAGCAGGAGCATTGATTACAATTTAATAGATGTCATGATCCAATTAATTGAGTTCGTTTCCATTAGGATGACTTTCTCTGTTTCTCCTTTTTCTTTCCCAATTTTCTATCCATTGTAATATCTGAAATCCAAGAAAAGCTATCCTTTAACTATAAATCGTTATTTAAAGTTTTTCTTACATGAAATCAGGACTATCCTAATTTCCAGTGAAGAGGACACCTATTTATTTAAAATAAGATCGTCATATAATTAGAGACGTAAACCTAATTTCGTAATTGTAAACGTACGAAAAATATACTCTATAGATTTTTATTTTGGATAGAGATGAATATTAAACCTACGTATCCGGAGTGTGTACACGCAAAAATGTTAATTGCCAAAGTATATGCTACCTACGAAATATTATTATTTACGGTCCCACCTGCTTAATAGAAATTCTATCATAAATCAAAACTGATCTACTCGTCGACCGTAATAAAAGACCGGAAAAGTTTTAGTCCATGCATTTATATGATATTATGATGATCATTAATATTGCAATTATACGTTTCCTTAGGTCGTTGACATTCTTTAGTTTTATAATAAAAGAAAGTTCGCATAGTGGATTTCACATTTTTTGTTACTTAACTGCGGTTTATTACGTTAGCTGCAGTTATTCGTACATGTGAATATGTGTGCAGTGTTGACCTACGCAGTTGAAGTTTGGTCAGCATAACTTTGAATGACCTTATATGATCAAATTAAATTTCCCATACGTAAACCACACATAAATTATAACATTAACTCCGTAAAAAAAAACGTAACAGTTGTCCCATTTAATTCGCCTTTTTTATAATCAATTTTGGTGGAAACACGATTTGAAAAATTTATCTGTTTTTGGGTTTGTTGAAGGCATCATGCATGCAAACCACTTCCTCAACTCATTTAGTATTCAACAATTTCCGAAATCGTGTGTCTTATTGTAGTATTACCTTTTCTAGAAAATCATAACCACTCAGATAAACAGAGGTAATATGGATCCAAGTTAATATGCGAAATCAACACAATTGTCAACACAATAGTATAAAAGACGAACTTTTGTTTGTTTTACAAACAAAAAAAAAGGACAGAATGAGTCTAGATGAACAAAAAACAATGAATGTAATGTAACTACCGTCCAACCAACCATGGACTTTGGGTTATTCGAAGTGGCAAATAAATTCAGAGTAGAAAATAAGAGTATCATGAGGAGCCAGAATTGAATTTAATATCATTTGGTCCGTGAATTCCATTTTTGTTTCTAAATAAATCTACCGACTAATCTTTATGTTGTTCAACAAATAACGATGCATTTACAACAACAACAAAGAAATAAAAACCCCATAAAAATCCTTACGGTCTTCCGCCATCAATTTGTTTTCTTCTTTTCGGTTTTACAAAATAAACCCCATAACCTTTTTATCTATCATTTACAAAGGTCCAAAAAAATGAAAAAAGTTCCAATTAAGCCCCAGAAGTTTCAGATTGATATGTTGAGATCAATCTTAGGCTTCTTGACGGAATTTGCAGGCAAAGAAACAATGGTATCGCATCTCGGGCATTTCGGGTTGTTGTTCATAACCAAAACGTAAGACAAACATCCGGGACATCCAGCCGCCACCGGAGACGCAACCTCCGTCGTCGTCCTATGATGATGATGATCGGAGACTGTATCGTCCGGCGATTGCCGTTTTTTGAACAAAGCCGGATCTCTCTCTGCTCTCTCTAGAGCCGATTTAACTTTGTCGAGCGTGCAAACGCTTTGGAAATTATGGTTGGGAGATACGAAGAGGGGACGAGAACGAGACGGCGGGAGAAGTTTCAGTTCCGGTTCCGGCGTGGTGTTGTCGTCGAAGAGGTTTAGCAAAGGCTTCGCCTGAGAATTGGCTTGATTCGGAGGATAATTCAAATCCTGAAACGTCGGTACTGTTTGATTGGATTGCTCTGCGTTGCTTATTGACGACGAGCTCGTTGAATTACATCGTTGCAAATAAACTTTTCCTGACTGTTCAAAAAATCGATCTCAATTAGCCACAAAAATCATCGATCGAAATCCATTCCCAAAAATCTTCCGAGATCATATTCATAAAATTCGAATCGCGAAGAAATCAATCGGGGAAGAAATTAAAAAGCAGAGAAAACGAACCTTTAAATCGAGACGTTTCTCCCAACCGGTGGGGACTTGAAGGTCAAGGTCAAGCTCCAGTGACCGATGATCACCTCCTCCTCCTCCTCCTCCTCCTCTGCCGCTTCCTAGGAGGTCGCGAGTCATCAGCGCCACCGTTGATTTCGTTCCGGCGGATTCTTTCACAACCGTTCGATCGTCTTTGTAACCGCTTAGTAACCGTACGAGGGAGCTTACGTCAGCAGCCATACCAGAATTCAGAGATAGAGAGAGACTTTAAAAAATGGGACTGTGTAAAAAGGCAGAGAGAGATAGAGAGAGAGTTATATAGACAAGAGCCGATATGTAGAATAGAGTGTGTGTAGGAGAAATATTAAAGAGGCACGTTATATAATTTTAAATTTTCAATTCATTGCTAGAATTTATTAGTAGTAGTAATCAATACGTACTATTTCACGATTAATGTTTTGCTCGGAATTTTGTAATATTGATTTACTACTACTTTACTTTCTCTGGTGTACAAGCCAATATTAATGAGGGGTTTACACATTTATCGTTGTACCATTATTGACTAGCATTTAAATTTTAATGAATTTAATGTGTGTCGATCTCTAACCTTATTTTCTTTCCCTTTCTTCACGCTCTACACGTTTTCTCACTATTTTGATTTCTTATACCCTTACCAAATTTTTCTCACATATTTAATTTTACATTAAATTTACTCTTCAATTTAAACATCCTCCTTCCTCGCTCAACTTATTAAAAGAAAATCTAACCCCACTCTGACTACTGATGTGTATTATCCCCTATAACTGCGATTTTTAACAAAAAAAAAATATGTATTTTTAACTGATATTTAATACTATGTATTATCTGATGATTATTTTTTTAGACTTTTAGTATTTTTGAATTCAAGTGTGTATATTAATCCCATGGATTTATTATTTATGTGATTATATTACTATTGATCCCATAAAAAATTATTTTAGCTCCACAACTGATTGAAACAAAAGAAGTAGTTATATTCTAATACATGTAAAAACTCGTGAATTATTATTTGTAAACTAACAGAGTTTTCTTCTACATTTTGTTTTGAACCTTTTTTCTACACTTTGATAGAAAAGAGATTATAGCAAATGAAACGCAAAGACTTTATATAATTATAGTAGTATATACTTCGATCCATCTTAATTTTTTTTAAGCACTGTTAAAACGAGTCTCGAAATATGCATTTCCGAAAATAGACTATTTTATTTGTTATAAGAGGAATCGTCGAATGGAGAAGAGGAATTATCAGAGAGAGAGAGCCAAAGTGTATTAAATGCGATAGAGAGAGAAAGTGAGACGCATTTAATGATTAATCGTCTCTCCATAATGTACTAGTACTTCAATTAGTGATTAATCCCTTCCTTTTTTTTCTTCGTCAAACGTGATTGATTAATACTCCCGACTAATTCTGTAATTCATTACGCAAAAAAATCGTTGAGGATTTTAAAATGTTCATTCAATTGCCGTTTCGAACTTTCTTTCCGTGTTGTTGACTTTCAAAACACAATAACAACATTTCCTAAATTGTTTATTTACATTCACGAGCAAAACTATACCGACATTATTTTCGTTTTTTTTTTTTGCTCTCAACATTTGCAAAAAAAAAATATACAATTAATAGCATAAAAAATGGCAAGATATTTATTAATTGGCTTTTTTAGGAAATAGGAAGGTGTAAGCATTTAAGAACAGACCCAAAGAGCTTTGAATAGTGAAGTTGAAGTTATATATATAAAAAAAACTACTAGTATTATTTAGGCTCTTAGGGTGATGAAGTGATGATGCTCACGGACGATATTCTTTAACGCCTAACATTTAATACCAGCTTTTATAAAGTTATATATACACCACATACACAAATACTCACCTGTGCGTGAAAAAAAAAAAATAATTGACATTACTTCATCGGGATTGACCAATTGACGCAAGAAAGTTACTACTATTAAATAGTTCACCAAATTAAACTTGACAAAAATTTATACGTTTATTTCGTGTGTATTAAATTTTTAAATAAATGTTAAATCTGTCTGACCAAAAAAATACTGTATAAATACTAAACCTATCACCTACGGTTAGGGATTTTTTTTTTTTTTGGGGAATGGATGTTTACTCCTACGAAGACGGCTGGCCCTAAATGTGTAACCGAACCAATGTAAATTAAATTTGGTATATTAATTTATATGGCAGTGAGACTGGTCTTGGGATTTCAATGCATTTAAATGGGAGATTGGTGGGGTTATTAAATAGGAAATTAAATGATAGTATTAACTTTATTTCAATGCATACAATAAACCTATTCACGGGCCATTACTCATTTTGCAGTCTATTTCTCCTCGGAGTGTAACCGATATTTTTTTAAACACTGATTGCAAACACTGATTATGCTCAAACCTGCCAAAGTGCCAAGCAACACGAAAACAGAGCATGGCACTATAAATATACTCCATCATAAGATTAGTAGTTTACTATCATAGCAAAACTAAGAATTGGTTCGCTGACTGAGATCAAATTGTCTACTTTTACCGTTATTATAGTTTACTATCATATCATACTATCATAGGCATAGCGATCGTAATATTTGTAGCTCGCGATTATCAAATAGACAGGCCCATGTAGAGTATACGAAGCCCACTTTCTTATAATATGGCCCAACTATACGCACGTTATCATCATTCCTTTGTAACTAGTTTAGGCTTTTGGGTAAAAAACTCTTGTACTCCGTTAGTCCGTTTCAGAAAAAAACTCTATAAAGAGAGCCCTTTAATGATGATATGGACTATGGAGTATAATAATAATTACTCACTGTTAGTATAGTTGATAATTACTACTCCATAGTCCATATCATCATTTGCGGTATAAAGAGAGCCCTTCAATCTTTTGCGGTAAAGTAATTTCTAAAATATTAGTGACTGAAAAAACTACTGGCTGTTACCAAATCACAACATGTTTATGATGGAATGATCTATTCCTACAATCCATTACAAGTCCATGTGCGTCATGCATGCGTAACCGTTTATTTTATCTGTTAACCTTTTTAGTGTATGCGTGTTTTTTTGGGCATTATTTTATTTGATTTGGAATTATTAGGATTTTGCTTGGACTAATGAGTGATTAGTTAGGTGATAAAAACATCACTACTAAGCAAATGTCCTACCAACCTAAGGATGGATAATATTATTTATTGTTTGAGATTCCATGTTTTTCAAGATTAGGTGTCTAATTTGGTCCTCTTAAATCTTTAGTCCAACGTTAGTTTCTACTTTACCTGATTTAAATGACCATTAGAAAATTTTAATTCTGACTTTTCTTGTGTTTCCCTCTCCAAACCTACTTAATCATCTTGACCAGAAATATATATATATATATATATTAATCATAGGATTGAAATCGGAGTATGAAAATATGCAAAAAGTATTATATATATCCTCTATTACGAACACACACAAAGCGGACACATAGCCTTATTCTATAAAATCCGAACTTGAAAGTCAATACACTCAAAACTGATTATGACGTATGTATTACCAATAGCAACACACATGCTTTCATCATTAATTTTAAATAAATTTATTTTAGAAATATTTTCTGCCACTTTCCATCGTGTTTCGATAAGGTCCATCTTCCATAGGGACGTTGAAAATATATTTAATTTTGCCCACTAATAGTTCAAACATTTTTTTATTATTATTAGTAATAGAGCTTTCGCACTCATTAGTTTGTTCACCAACTTAGAGATTAAAAAGCAAAACCCTTGACCGTACAGATACATTACATTGATACTTCAAAATTATAAAAAAAAACAGCTTATAACTTCGCACTTCGGATGTGTTACAATAGTATCACGATCTTGAATGGTATTGACTCGAACCATATAAATCGTAGCTAGTGTCGATCAATTTTGTTTTTTTTTTTGTTTGGTGTCATGAGAAATTTTCTTTTTAGAAATTATATTGGGTAAAATTTACCAACGTCCCAAAGTTGTTTCGTTTATTAACTTCAATTATCGCTGATACGTAATACCCGAAACATTTTTGTAGTATATAGAAGTGAATATATCGCAACTACTTAGAGTGGTTTTGGATGGTTACAGAGAAATTAATTAAGTAATGAAGGTTTGGTGATATTAAGTAATTAACGTAGCCAAGTGCCAACAACAACACCAAACCTACCAAACATTAAAGAAGTCAAAAAGACGTAAGTCTCTGACCTTTTCCACTCTATTTAGTCTTTAGTTTGGTGAGTTCGTGCACTATGCTCCCACACACTGCTTCGCTTTTTGGTATTCTCGGATTGATTTAAAATTGCTTTATAATTTCTTGGTTATATAACATTTAAAGTTTTCTTCTCTTTTTCTAGCTATTTTTGACGTCATTTCTACTAAAGATTGAAAATTTCTATTTTCTTTGCCGCGTATTTAGTTTGGTAAAGGTAATCCAATTTCCATTAATTAAATCGACAGTCCTGACATCCTATTATAAATATATTCCATGTATGAGTGACGCATTGTTAAAGTTAAACAGCATTGTTCATGAGCGTTAATATCTTAATATTTTGTTGGAACTACATGTTTACGGGATATCTACATTTAAAAGTTGGTAGTTATGATGCATGGAGCCATATTACTGACTCGCTGACAAAAATGAATATTATCAAATCTCATTGCATAGCTTAAGCTAAATTCTTAAGAAGTAGTAGCTGTATATTCGTATTAGTAAAAACACTACCTCATAAGAAACAAATTGTTATATGAAACAATTTAAAATGTCATTATTTTTTTTTTATATGTACGAGCAAAACTACATAAGACAGTGTGGAATAAAATGTCAAACTTGATAATTTTTATACGGGACGCTAGTTTTGGTAATTATAAATAAATTAATTTACTATATATGATTTTACATTTTTTTAATATGTGAAATGGATGCATCGCTGTTAAAAGAAAAGATAAGTTGCATGCATCATGTGGATGCCAAATCAAGTAAAAATGAGAAAATGGAATCATACCAAATAATCAACCATAACACAGGCAACCTTTTCCCACTCAACAAATCTGATTTGACATTTATCAATCCCTTTGTTTACATTCATCTTTCGCATGTCAAGATCACACACTCTTACCTCTCATATATATAAACAACAGAACCAATTGCATTTGGTAAAGTGAATCTCAAAATTGAGTGTATATATATATAATATATAGATATATATATATCTATATAGAGAGAGAGGGAGAGAGGGTGAGAGGGAGTGAGAGAGAATGGGGAAGGGAAGAGCACCTTGTTGTGACAAGACCAAAGTGAAGAGAGGTCCATGGAGCCCAGAAGAAGACTTGAAACTCATCTCTTTCATTCAAAATTTTGGTCATGAGAATTGGAGATCTCTTCCCAAACAGTCTGGTATGTTGTAGCTTTTATTTAATGGATCGTGATCAAAGCAGAAGCCTTTTAAAAAATGGTTTCTTTATGATTCTGAATGTATATGCAATAAATGAAGGGCTATTGAGGTGTGGGAAAAGTTGTCGTCTAAGGTGGATTAACTACCTTAGGCCAGATGTGAAGCGAGGCAACTTCACCGTAGCAGAGGAAGAAACAATCATTAAGCTTCACCAAAACTACGGGAACAAGTAATGCTCTGTATATCTCTTTGCTTGAGGTGGATCAAAAAAGTGAGTTGGTATTGACACTAATCAATATTAGTTGTCTTCATATTTTGATCAGGTGGTCGAAAATCGCTTCTCAGCTTCCAGGAAGAACAGATAACGAGATCAAGAATGTGTGGCATACACATCTAAAGAAAAGACTGGTTCAGAGCTCAAGAACTACTGATCATCTTACTGCAGATGAACCGGCCTCTTCTTGTTCGAGTTATTCCGTTTCCCGTGGGAAAGAAGAAGATGTTGGGAAGGAGGCTAAGTCTCAAGTAGATGATCCTTTGAACAGAAAGACCTATCAGGAGTCTACTTCAGTGTCTTCTGGTGGCTCTAACAATTCAAACCAGGATGATGATCCAAATATAAGCTTCATGTTCGAGTACAGCGAGTTTAATGATATCGTTATTCAAGAAGTAGACAAACCCGATCTCCTGGATATACCTTTTGATTCAGATCCTGACATTTGGAGTTTCTTAGATGGTTCCAACTCATTTCAACAATCCGGTGCAAATGAGAAGACAGAAGAAGATTCTGATGAGGATGAAGTTAAGAAATGGTTCAAGCACCTGGAAAGCGAACTCGGGTTAAAAGAAGATGAGAATCAACTTCATAAACAGAGAACACAAGACGACGACGACGAAGAAGAAGAGGAAGAGGAAGACTCATCATCACTCTTGAAGACCTACGAGCTCATGATTCATTAACAAATTCAAAATCTGATTTATTTTCATTGATGACGAGAAAAGATAGTTATATTATATTAGATATCAATATTTAAGGGAAAGGTAGAAAACAGAGAAAGTGTATTCCATAGTTAATTTTCATGGCATCTTCAGTGTATAAAGGGTAAGAAATTAATAGATATAAATTAAACATAGCTGGTCAAAAGATATGTTTTATAGTAAAGGCATGAGACTAAACATCTCTGAAGAGATTCTTCCCCTATTCTAAAGAATCTTGAAGAACAAATGATCAATGGCTTCATCTTGAAACCCACTTCTGGTTTGGTATTCAAGTAATTTTGAAGGAGAGAAGAATATTAGGTATAGGGATTAGCTTGAAACATCTAAACACCATCCGAAACTGGAAATCGACAAACAAGAAGACCAGTTTCTGTTGTTTGGAAATAGATTCACCAGCTAGCTTTGCTAACATATAAAGTACCAACTTAATCAAGCTAAAGTCCTTTTCCCCATACCTAACTCTCACCGTGTGCCAATCATCATTATTCTCAATAACAAGAATGTTTTGCATAATGCAATGGAGATAGAAAAAAAAGAAAACAAATATGGTTGGGAAGCTATGTAGTTCATGGACTCACATGGATTTTCTTGATTCCTCTTGCAAACTTTACAAAAATTTTAGGTTTATTTTGCAATTCTATATAATCGTGGGTTTACTTTGCAACACTGTATAAAATATCATGTTTATGATTATAGGTTTTGATTTGTAAATAATATAAAGTACACGGATTATTTTTGAAACTCTGTATAAATTCAGGTTTAAAACCCTAAAAAACCAAAATTCCCGGTCTTTATCCCTCGGCCATTGCAACGAGACGGCGACCGAGAAAGTTTGACCGGTCGGGTTAATAGCATCGGGTCGGGTCGACTTTTGCAGGACTCGTCACTACTCTAACGCTATTTTCTGCTGAATTGACTTCAGTTTCGCGGTTCCATCTCTCTCTCTCTCTGACTCAAGATTCTGCAATTGATCGGGCATAATGGAAAAGTCCGTCGTAGTCCGCCGTGAAACCAATGGAGACGATCTTGAGGGAGAAGCAGAACGAGAAACCCTCTTCGCAGAGCTCAAAGTTCTCTGCTTGGAGCTTCTAAGCCTATCGCAAAACCCTCAAAAGGATCCGGCCACGATGCCTGCGTTGCTCCACCTCCTCCGCCGTACTTCTCCGTCCTCTCTCCAGTCCTTCTTCCAGTAAATATTCCCCAAATCCGCAAATTTCCACTTTTGCTTTAGGCATTCATAAACCCAAGTGACAAGTGTCTTGTTTTATGTGCGTTTTCAGCTACGCTTTGTTCCCGTTGCTTCTTCTGTTGGATGGCGCAGTAGCTTGCAGAGGTCAGGGGAATAATCAGCCGGCGAAAACACCTTATAGAGTGAGTGATAAAGTAGCAGAAGGTGTAATCTCTTGTCTTGAGGAACTTCTGAAGAAATGCCACATCGGATCCGTAGATCAGGTGAATTGATTTGAAACTCCCACTTACATTTGTTTGGATAACACATTCTTTATTTAGCTTCTTTATGTATGTTGAAAATTTCTCCTACAGATGGTTGTAATTATGAAGAAGTTAACTAGTGCTGCTATCTTAACGCCATCTGAGGCTTCTGAAGAGTTTCGCCAAGGGATCGTCAAATGTTTCAGGGCTATGATCTCTGGTCTGCTTCCATGCTCTGATGATTCTTGTTCTTGTAAGCGCACTGTTGGCTGGCCTCAACTGTCAGATAGAAAAGATTATCAGACTCAAGTTTCAGAGTCATTTAAGTATGATTTAGAAACCCGAGAATGCTTGCTTGCTTTTCTTCAGTCTCAGTCTGCTTTGGCTGCTCTGGGTCATTGGCTTTCCATTCTTCTCAAAGTAACACACTTTTCTCGCTATGCTTTCCTTTTTCTTTCTTATCGAGCCATGTAGTTGCATAAACTCTAAAATTAAAATCATTTTTGATCACTGCACCTAGGTGGCTGATGCTGAGGCTTCTCGAGGACATCGAGGAAGTGGAAACCTTCGTGTCGAAGCCTTTCTGGCCTTACGCATACTTGTGGCTAAGGTGACTATAATATTTTCTTACATGTTTTGATGCATTGTATTTCTTATAATGGAAATATTTTGAGGAAAAAAAGTCTTCTGGGGTCCTAATAAAAGTAGAATTTTTATTGTAGATTGGTACTGCTGATGTGTTGGCGTTTTTTCTACCTGGTGTTGTTAGCCAAATTGCCAAAGTGCTGCATGTTTCGAGGGCAATGATAAGTGGAGCTGCAGGAAGTGTTGACGCATTGGACCAAGCAATTAGATGTTTGGCCGAGTTTCTTATGATAGTCCTAGAGGATGAGGCTAATTCATCGGCCATCAACATTTCTGATGATGATTCAAAGTCCCAGAGGCATGAATCTGCACACTCAATTTTGAACGAACTTCGTTCTTTGACTACCAAATCTCGAGGGCAGAGTGATGAGCTGGCAGAAACTACAAGCCAAGAGATTGTTAAAACCATCAATGTACACGAAAAATCCAATCTGAATCTGAGTCGTGATTCCTTTCATGTTGAACGTACTAGTGAATGGTTAGAGAGCACTACATCTCACGTGAACAAGCTGTTGTGTGAGACATTTCCTCATGTATGGCTTTTTTAATATTTTTCTCCTGTGCTCCGTTCATCAGTTTTCTCCCAAATCCTTTAGGAGCTGTTTTGTCTGAGTGGTGAATCTTCATTGGTTTCAGATTCTTATTCATCCAGCCAGAAAAGTTAGATGGGGATTTCTAGCAGCAATACGTGGAATGCTACTAGAGCTCGTCGTGAGGTGCCAGATTGGTGATGTGGTAGGTCATACACACTACACATGATCGTAGATATTTCCATTCCAAGGGATTTGCAATTTTTATTATGATGCAGGAATGCGTATGTACTCTGGTTGTTGATGACTCGGATGAAGTTTCTGTTGGAGCCCAGGAATTTCTCGATCATTTATTCTCTGACCGTGCAAAGTATCACGTAGAGAGTGACATAATCAAGATCTTTAGCAGGTATTGTTCTGTCTGCTGTTATGTTGTTTCTTTCCTTTTAAGCTCAATATTCAGCTCTTGACATATATAGATGTGTTTTATTCTCCTTCTGTTGCGTGTTAATGGCAACAGACTACTTGAGAGGCTTCCAAAAGTGGTTTTGGGGAATGAGGAAATGCCTGCACTTTCGGTGGTGAAGCAGTTACTTGTAGTCTCTTATTATTCTGGTCCTCGATTTTTGGCGGATCATCTTCAGTCTCCCGTATGTATTCTCTTTCTTGACAAGCTCATAGGTTTGGTTACTTCTTTCTTCTATCAGCGAAAATCGAGCTCATCTAATAATGGCTTGCGATATATGATTGGCGCTTCTTTGCATTCTTTTATGTAGATAACAGCTAGCAGATTCCTGGATATATTTGCCCTCTGTCTGAGCCATAGCTCAGCATTCACTGGTTCTCTTGAAAATCTCATCGCAGAAAGACCATTATCATCGACTGGTTACCTCCCTTCTATCACAGAATTAAAAGTAGGGTTTCGTGAGAGCAGTTACAATCGAGCTGTTCCAAATATCGCTGAATCAGATCAAGGAAAATTGGAGATATCGCCGACCACTAGCTATACGTTACCTCGCATGCCTCCTTGGTTCTCTTATGTTGGTAGCCAGAAGCTCTACGAGATGCTCGCTGGAATCCTTAGACTTGTTGGTTTATCCTTGGTGGCAGGTCATTTTCGAATTCCTCTGAATCCATTTTCCGAAACTATTCTGCAGTTAAGTTGTAGATGAGTTAGTTACTGATATAGTAAATGATCTCTCCGTGTTTGCTAGGATTTGAAAACGATGGGAATTTAGCAGTCATCCTGGATATTCCTCTCGGTTTTGTTCGTAAATTGGTTTCAGAAGTTCGTGTAAAGGAGTATAATGGAGAAGACTGGCAATCGTGGTGTAATCAAATTGGTTCAGGACAGTTGGTTCGCCAGGCGGCAACTTCTGCTTGTATCTTGAACGAGATGATTTTTGGTCTATCAGATCAAGCAACAGATGCTCTCTCGAGATTGCTTCGGAAGTCAAGAAAGGGAAGTGACAAACTCTCCTGGGAAATCACATGGAACAAACGTTTAAAAACTCATCTGATTGATTGCGTTGGTAAAATTTTGCACGAATACCAATCTTCTGAAGTGTGGGATCTCCCCGTGGACCAAAAGACAATGCATGCGCAGACCGATACTGTTGGTCAACATATTAGTCTGCATTTCTTAAGGGACACTGCAATGCTACACCAAGTTATAATAGAAGGAGTAGGTGTGTATTCCTTGTGCCTTGGGAAAGATTTTGCTTCAAGTGGGTTTCTTCACTCTTCGCTTTACCTTCTGCTTGAGAGTCTTACTTGCTCTAGCTTCCAAGTTAGAAATGCTTCAGACGCTGTCTTACGTCTTCTTGCTGCCACCTCAGGCCATCCCACAGTAAGAATTTATGATAATGCAGTTGGATTCAGGCACATAACAATACCTTTTATTTTAATTAAAATCTTGCCCTTTTTGTTTGTTTGTTTGTTTGTTTGTTTGTTTGCAGGTAGGGCATCTGGTTGTAGCAAATGCGGATTATGTAGTTGACTCGATTTGTCGTCAGTTGCGCCACCTGGATCTTAATCCTCATGTCCCAAATGTTCTTGCTGCTATGCTTTCTTATATAGGAGTTGCCAATGAAATATTGCCTTTGTTGGAGGAACCGGTAAGGCCATTTGCAGTGAATTGTTTTTTTTCTTTTCATGAAATCTTTTGCCTTTCCTGGATCGTAATCACCCTCCGATACATAATCAGTGCGTTAAGAACTTTTCTTTTCTTTTTTTTTTTCAATTCGGGGGATCTGCAGATGCGATTGGTTTCCCAAGAACTAGAAATTGTTGGTAGACAGCAGCATCCAAATCTAACTTTACCCTTCTTGAAGGTAGATTCATTGTTACATTATTCTTCTACGACTTTGAAAATTATAAGTTTTCTTGGTCTAGAATACATACATCATAACCTTTGTTGGTGCTTCCCGTAGGCTGTTGCTGAGATTGTTAAAGCTTCAAAGAATGAGGCTTGTCTATTACCAGACCGAGCCAAGTCATATAGTGACCATGTTAAGACCAAAGCATCTGATGCGATAACATCAAGGCAAGAGAAAGGTTCAGATTCTGAAAAAAACAACGACGAGGAAGAATGGGAAAACATACTGCTTGAACTAAATCGTTCTAAACGATACAGACGCACAGTTGGATCGATCGTCTCTTCATGTTTAATTGCAGCCACGCCTCTCCTTGCATCATCAGATCAAGCCTCATGCTTGGTTTCCCTGGATATAATCGAGGTACATTTCCGTTGGATTAAGTTTTCTTGAGCTCACTCAAAGGACATTTCCGTAACTGGCCTAAATCCGTAACTTCCAATTATACAGGAAGGTGTAGTGGCGCTGGCTAAAGTCGAAGAAGCTTATCGAGCTGAGACGGAAACCAAAGAAACAATGGAAGAAGTCATTGAATTTGCTTCGCTTTTTCAGCTTAAAGACTACATGAATGCTACTGACGATGGAGCAGACGAAAACCGGCTTTTACCCGCTATCAACAAAATCTGGCCATTCTTTCTTGCTTGCATTCGAAACAGAAATCCTGTGGTACCATCTCTCTCTCTCTTTTTTCGCTTCTGGTTTGTCTATAGACTCTTGACAATTTCTAAAACCCGCTTCTTCTTTCACAGTCTGTGCGGAGGTGCTTAACCGTGATAACTCGAGTCGTTCAAACATCCGGAGGAGATTTCTTCAGTCGTCGTTTCCGCAATGATGGCCCAGACTTCTGGAAGCTTTTAACAACATCTCCGTTCCACATTATGACGGCGAAGAACCTCCGGGAAGAAAACAAAGCGGTTCTTCGGCTTCCTTACAGAACTGTTTCTGTATCTCCAGAGTCTTCTTCTTCTTCATCCATTGCTGAAGTTTCTAGCTTGAAAGTGCAGGCTGCACTTCTTGATATGATCGCCGAGCTTTCCAGAGACAAACGCAGCGCTTCGGCGTTAGATGCAGTCTTGAAAAAAGTTGCAGGGCTGGTCGTTGGGATCGCGTGCAGCGGTATAACTGGCTTAAGAGAAGCGGCTTTGAATGCGTTGAGAGGTCTGGCTTGTATTGATCCTGATCTCATATGGATTCTCTTAGCCGATGTGTACTATTCTCTCAAGAAGAAGAAAGACTTGCCTTTGCCACCGTCTCCAGACTTCCCAGAGATCTCAAGGGTTTTGCCTTCACCACCAGAAGATTCTCCGGCGAGATTTTTATATGTTGAGTACGGTGGTCGGACCTATGGTTTTGAGTTGGAGTTTAGCTCCGTTGAGACCATCTTCAAGAAAATGCAGTCTCTTGTCTTTCTAGACCAAATCCTTTGTTAATAATTTTGCTTGTAAATACTTTTTTTTTTTTTCATTCTGAAAACATATGAAACCAGATTTTGTATTGTTCAATTAAAATTTTGGAGAAGACAAATACAGTTGTTAGTAAGCACTAAAAGTAAATCTATTATATTAAAACAAAAGCACATTTAGTACTTGCTTCCAAACACTCCTAATTTTTTTTAAGTGTTTAATTTCGAAAATTAGTTATTAATTTAAATATTTTTAGAGTTCCTTAAATATAGGTAATTTAGATTTGATTTGATTTGATTAAAAATAATAAATCAGATATTAATTTAAATTTGATTTAAAGATTCTAATTTAAATAATTTCTATACTATTAAACATTTTTATCAAAAATATCTAGAATTTTCGAAAAAAAAAGTTTACATATAAAAAATAATGGTCATATTTGAAATATAAAATATTTATAATGATGTAAATGATATGATAGTTATGTTGTTTATATAATATATTTACGATTATGATTTATTTACAAATTAATAATAAAATAATAGGTTAAACTCAAATGTATAATTTAAATATTAAAAATATATTTTTTAAAAATTCATAGAACTAAAAATATATATAAAAAACCGGGTTAAAAATATTTTGGTAACTAAAATCACTAATTTTGAATTATACATGTATATCAAAAATATATTTTTCATACAAAATCAAAACATAAAAAATTAAAAATAATTGCATACACTATAATGTGGTTTGAAAAACCAGTTGTACACTCCCTTCGTTGATTAAATTTTAGAAAACTATAATGCTAAATAATACTGTTAATACATCTCAAACTTTTAACAAATATTTATATTATACGGTAATATGAACAGAAAAGTTAGAATTATGTTTTTATAATAGTTCATTTTGAATTAATATTAGTGGACGGGTTAAAATTATATTTTTATAATCATAATTATTTTTAATACTATAAAAATATATCTAAACACAAAAATCAATATTTTCACTTATTAAAAAATATATTTATAAAAATAATTATATATAAACTCAAAAATACAAAATTCGTTAAACAATAAAAATATTCCTGTGCGAATGCACGGGGTTAGAATCTAGTTCAAGTGTTAAAAGAGAATTGTATTGGGTAAAAGTAAAACAATGGGGCGATAAGAGAAATATAAAATAGTAGGGGGGTTTTCATTTAAATATTGGCATCGGAGACCCGACCCGGTAATCCTGAATCCTAATCTCGGGGCCCAAATGAAAAAGAATATATAAACTATCGTTGGATCCTTGTTTTGTTCTTAAGCCAAGTCGGAAAATCATGGGAAGCGAACGAAGCCCGAAGGAGAAGAAGAGAGGCAGAGCACGGAGCGAAGATGCTTCATCTTCTGATAGTATGTTCTTCCTCTCTATGGTTATATTCTTTCTTCCGTTTCCCGAGAAAATTTGTTCGCAATCGCTTTGTTTTTCTCGGGGATTTCAATTTTTAGTGATTTATCTGTATCCGTGTAAGTTACGAGCTATTAATGTTGCCAATTTCGAATTTGTTGCTAGATTCGGGTTGATGCTTGAAACTGTGACATGTTATGATCTGAGACTGTGATTTATGAATGGGCAGACGAAGGGAAAGTGAAGAGGCATCGAGGAACAGAGAAAGATGATGAGAAGAGAAGTGAGAAGAAGGATAGGAAGAAGGAAAAGAAATCCCACAAGCACCACCGGACGAGTACATGTATGATCTTTGTTTGACCTATTTCAGATTTCTTACTTGATTTCCGTAGCAATTGCATATGATGGGCACCAACTTGAGTATATTTGATATTTTTGCCACTACTTCATCTTAGTGATTTCAGCTGTTACTTAGTTCTTGTTGCTGAGATGTAGTGGTGTTTTTGTATCGTTTTCTGGTTTACAGCTAAGATCTTTCATCATACTGCTCTTAGTTAGATGTTTTTAAGCATGAGCTGTATGTCTTTGCTTTTTAGTATGATCTAGTTTTGTTTTGCGGTTATCAAAGACAAAGAGTTTATTTCATGCCGAATTTGTTTGAGTCCAGCAAAGAAGTCCAAGGATGATAAGCCAAAAAAGAAATACTCAGAAGGCGGCCACCAGCTAGTGAGCTCTCTCTTACCCTTCACTCGTTAAAAACAAATGATAGTATATTCACTCAAAAGTATATTGCTTTGAAGGCTATGCATGGCATGTGTGGTTATTGACAGGTGAGATTCTGATAAAAATGTGTTTCTTCTTCTCCTTACAGAAAGAGGGGATCCCAAAGCTATCAAATGAAGACTACTTCTCCAAGAACAACGAGTTTGCAACATGGCTTAAAGAAGAAAAGCGCACTTACTTTAATGATCTCACAACCGAATCTGCACGAGAATTGTTTTCTCGCTTTGTCAAGGCATGGAACAAAGGAAAACTTGAGTCCCGATACTACGAAGGGATCTCCGCTGCCCCACGAACAGCTTACAACTGGAAGATCAAACAGAGGTGAAAAGCATAAACTTCCTTTTCGCCATTTGCAGGTTGATGATACGAGAAATACTTGTAGGTTGTTTCGACTTAAACCTCTTCTTTCAGGACTTAGATTATCGTTGAGAGACGTGTTTGTTGTCGGGTTTTTGAGGAAGAAAAAACGTTAAGGTTAATGGATAAACCAAATACGGTTGAGTTTAAATACGTTTATTCTGTGTTCCTCTTGACCTATACAAAATAGCGTATAGCTTAAGACTTCAAGATTTGGCACTAGTAGTAGCTTGGAAGCACGACTTTTGATTCTAAGGAATCAGATTTTCACGAAAGAGACAAATTTTGAAGGTTTTAAATATATTCTTTGAGTGAAAAAAAAAAGTTCTAAATTGGGTCTCCAGAGTCTAAACATGATCCAAAAGTCTTACACAAGCAAGAACTATCAATTCTCTGCAGACAGCCAGAAAGACGAAAGATAGTATTGAGACTCAAATTCTGGTTCGTTGCACGGTTTAGTGAAGGTTTACTCGACTTCAGCCAAGTAGTCGTCGATTTCTGCTGGTGTTAGTACCCTGGCATTTGAAACACTCTCTTCTGAGATATTGATGGCAATAATAAAGATTCTCGATTTTATTAACGCTTATAATAATAAACTTACCTGAAAACTTTGTCAGCACCGATTTTACCAATCTCAATGTTTTTGCTCGAGATTTCTCCCTCGAAACTGTGAAACAAACGAGAAAGAAAGACGAGGAAAAGGGTTTTAGGTTTTTGTAAGCTTCTGAATTATAGAAATATAAGTAAACAGAGTTTGGTAAACTTTCTGACCCTTCCTTCAATGTCAATATCGCCGTGTGAATAGCATCATCAAGTTCCATGTCTTCTGTGTACCTGATCAGAAACTAAGATGACATGACATGCTTCGAAGATGATATACTCGTATCACAAATGGTAAAATCTTATTACCTCTTCTCAAGAAATGTCTTTGCATTCGAAACATTCTTTCCCATTGCCGAAGCTTTCCATGAGAAATAAGAGCCAGACGGATCCACCTAGTGAAAAAAAGAAAATTTGAAATAAGATGTTTTTAATTTATGGGTTTTACATAATGGTTATATACATCTATTGTTCTACATACCTGATACAATTGTGGACCCTTGTCATCATACCCAGCCACTAGTAGAGAAACTCCGAACGGCCTAACACCACTATTAACAGGAGAAACAAAACCAATTTTGAAGCAAGATTTTCAGCAACCAAGTTTATGGATACAGATTTGCTCTAACAACGTTTAAGGTTAAAAGTGCAATTCTGAGTTGAAATCTATGAGCTAGTAAGTTACTCTTCTTAACACTGTTGAGCGTATGGGAGGAAGTAACCATATATATTTTGAATAGTACTTACCCTGATTGAGTGAACTCTTGCATCACCGTAGCAGTTTCCCTTACAAGTTGGGTAACAGGGATGGGTTCCTGCAAACAATAAAACCCCCTTAGAAGTTGAACTACGAATAAACAACAACTTATGCTAATCATCAATCCAAACTTTCTGCAAACAAGCAAGGATCGACAATTTATCATACATACATTACTAATTATTCCAAGAAAAGTGAATACAAATAAATATATTTAAGATTACTTTGTACAACCGGAGATATTGCTCAGCCTGCTTCCTACTCTTTCGCACAAGAACTCGGAAATCGGGACCCATACCACTTCATAAAAGTAAATACCATAGTTAGCATTGAAATGATGAGTAATACTATGTAGTATGTACCCATTTTTTTTAATAGAGCGTCTGATAAATCCAATATTTGAGATATAAAACAAATCTGTTATTTAACAAGAAATACAGACAGCTGAGGAGAAGAACCTGTATACAACTCCAATGTTGGGAGTCAAATGCTGAATCTTTTGAACCTGAAATAGACATTAGATTAACATTAGTTACATGGTAGTTACTATAACTATACAGCCTATGAAAGTTCCACAAGCAGGAGTAGAAGGAAAACGAGCTAATTTCTAAAAGATTTTACAAAGCATGTTGACCATAGGAAGAGATAATCAAACTTACAGACGCTTCATCAACCAGAATAGAGGGAAGTTTCTTTTCTGTTGCAATGACAACTCCGTTTGAAGCTGCAGAAAGAATTCACATTGATGATTAGAAAAGAAAATGTTTGCTTCTTAGAATCTCACCAGTTCATTAACAAACCTTTAATTCCCAAAGATGTTTGGCCTGATCCAACAGCTGTTAGGGCATGTTCTATCTGAACCAGCTTCCCTGATGGGCTGTTTTCATAGCCACAACACAAATAAACACCCAAAGAAACTGACCTTAATGCTCGAAAGAGATGAATTTGAATGATAAACAAGTTCATACCTGAACGTCGTGAGAGAAAACGAGTACTGACTGTCTCCCATTGCTGAAAAATCTGCAAAAATGCAAATTAGTATCATTCTTCTAACAAATTTTCAGGAAAAATGGAAGTGCTGAATCTGCTAAACTAAAAACCACAGAACATCCAACGGTCCACACGCTGATTTTCATCCACAAAAAACCAACTCGTAAAGCAAATTAAATCAACGAAATTACGTCTAAGCAAGTACACTGAAGCGATTAAATCTGACAAGGCTTAGATTAAAAAAAAAAACGGTAGGGTCTCAAAACGAAATGTGTAAAAGAGATGAAAAACAAGATAACATGCGAATTATGAATCGCAAGAGAATAAAATCTACCTTAACGATCAGCTCTAGTTCAGTTCAAAATCGGAGACACAAATTGATAACTTTTTAACCCAAAAAGTATATTTCAGTCTTCAATTTAGGTTCCACAAAAGATATAGCATTCCATAGAGATAGATATGATAGCTTACCTTTGATATACGGATCGAAGAAGAACTGGACCAAGTAGAGAGATAAACGAATGTGACGATTTAAGCTTTAGGTTTCTTGCTGAAAGGGTTGCAGTGAGAGTCTTGACGAATTGCTTTTCTGGTAAAAAAGAATATGCGAAACAAAAGAAAACGACATCGTTTACAGGGTGGGAATTTCTTATGGTAAATTGCAAAATCCTCCAACATTTATATTTAATTTCCCGTTTTGGACCACAATATTAATTTTGGCTTTCGCTTCCGCACAGTCGTCGCAACCCTCGTGGTCCGAAGTCGCTGTGCGCATCACACCAACTCTCTTTCTATCTCGGGTTCTTGTATTGCCTGAAATCCATGGTGGTAATTATCTCAACTTTTCTAGCTATTTCTTCGTAGCGTGTAAATTTCACTGCTTGTGTTGTATAGGCAGAACCATTGTTGATTCTTGCTCCTGTATTTCTCCAGTTTACACAATCTGGTGCTAATAATCTCTCGAATGCAATCAACGGGGAAGATAAATGTCTTAGCTGTTATCAGGTTACTGTTTACTACTAGCTCGAGCTTTGTCAGAAATGCTGGTTTCAGAAATTCCTTATCTGCTACCATCACCACCAGGTGTTCGACCGTATGCCTGAACGAAGCTGAAGGATGCATTGACGGCTCTGATCAATCGGTAAACAAAGTCGAATGTGTTCAAGTGAGACAGGTTCTTAGCCCCTTGGAAGTTCTACGAAAATGGGGTTGTAACGAGGATGAAATATCAAAGCTTTTCATTCGTAGGCCGTCTTTGCAGAGAGCCAATGCTGCTCAGCTAGAGTTTCAACTAAGCCTTCTTACTCCATTGGGCATCACATCATCCGACCTTGTGAAGATTGTTAATTGCCGTCCGAGGTTCTTTAACCGTCGTGTTCACCTTGTCCTTGATGAAAGGATCAACTATTTCATGGAGGTTTTGGGCTCAAAGGAGGTGTTGCGCAAAGTCATTATCCGGAACCCTTGTCTCGTGTTGTATGACCTCGATGAAAAGATCAAACCCGCGATAGAGTTCTACAAAGGGTTGGGCTTTAGCCAACAGGATCTCGTCGCAATGTTTATATCCCGACCCACGTTGATTCCAAGGACAAATTTTAGCAAGGAGAAGTTTGAGTACATCCAGAAAACTGGGGTCACCAGAGACTCCAAGATGTTCAAATACGTTGCAGCCAACATTGGGGTTTCGAGGATGGAGACAATCAAAGAGAAAGTCGCAAACTTGGAAAAGTTTGGGTTCTCCGAAGACGAGGTTTGGCATCTGTGTGGAAAATGCCCAATCCTTCTTACTGTATCAGTTGAGAAAGTTCAGAGAAATATGACTTTCGTCATAGCCTCTATGAAACTTCCAGCTCGTTCAGTGCTTAAGCACCCTTTCTTGCTTCTCTTCAACCTCGAGACTCAACTAAAGCCTCGTGTGGAACTCGTGAAGAGAGTATTCGATATGGGTCTAAAGCCGCTGGTAGAAGAAGTGAAAATTGCCACAGCGCTAAGGATGAGCGAGAAACGGTTCTTGAAGGTTTATGTAATGTGTCATCCAAAAGGTGTTGCTGCTGAGTTGATGGAAGTTTACGAGAAAGCCAAAAGTATGAAACGTTTGGCTGAGGAATCCAAGAAGTACGTTCGTAAAGGATTCCCCTTTTGAATCTAATAATTTTGATCAATCAATAATTCTTCCATTCTGTTTTCTCCTAATTTGTACAAGGTCACATTGGAATTGAGTTTTCTTTACTAGTTTGGTTTCTGAATTGGTTTTTTCGGTTCTGTTCAGATTAGTTTAATCGAATTAGTTTGTAATCACGTTATGTCCAAACGTGAAGAAAGGCGTTCTGTGTAACTAATATATTTTTGACTTTTAGCTCAGTGAAGCGGGATGGACAACATAACCTTACCCGGAAAAACTAAAAATAATTCCAACAATTAATCTCTCAAAGTTCTGTGGATACCATAGTGTCATTATTGTTCGTGCAATCTCTCAAAGTTCTGTGGATACATTGTTCGTGCATACCTGCAAAATAAGTAGTTAATTTTGTTGTGTAAGTGCAGTGATAGATGATAAGCTTGACAATGAGTACATCAGAGTGTCTGCGGCAACTATGGTTATGGGTGCCTATTACAATAATGCTCCTACTGCAGTTACTGGAATTAAGTTATAGAAGGTAAAATAGTTCTTCCCATACCGACCTATCTCATTGGGAAATTTGATTGCCCTCATTTCAAGTCAGCGGATTATGTTCGGACAAAGCTAAAGAGATTGCAAATTTTGTATCTAAACTTTTTTGTCTATTATTTTTTGTTTTGATGTTCAGTAAATTTGTTTTCTTTTCTTAAGGGAAGGTCAACCGGAGAGGATCATGTGTGATTGAAGTTGCTAAACTACCATATATCTAGTTAACTTCAGTATTTTAAACCTAGGACTGATGTCTAACTATTTATTTAGTGTTCAAACAACTTAATGTCCATTCGAACATTTTTTGTGGAACCAACTAAAAATTTGATGAATTTATTTATTTAAAACCAAATTTCCTCTAAAGAGAGATTTGGTTTAATATTTCAAAAAGTTTCTATATTTTGAAAATTAAGCCATGTTTTAAGAATTTTGAAAACTAACTTTTTATTAAGTAAACTATAATAATACCATTATGATCTTTTAGAATTTACAAGTACAAGAAAATGTCATATTTTTCAAGTAAAATTAGCATGTTTAAAAATTGATCTTCATCTTAGTGTCTAAGCTTTAGGAAAATCGATAAATATGACCTTAAAATCTGAATCGGTTATTTCGGTACAGTTTCAGTTCTATTCAGATTAGTTAAACCGAATTAATTTGAAATCACGATATGTCCAAAAGCTAAGAAAGGCGGTTTGTGTCATATCAATTAGTTTTCAATCACAGATATGTCCAAACGCGAAGAAGGGCGGTTTGTGTCATATCTTTTTGAGTTTTAGCTGAGTGGAGCAGGGTGGACAACATAGCCTTACCCAGAAAAACTGAGCCGAACCAAACCGTAATTAGGTGATTTGGTTTTTGTTTCATCTAAAAAACCGTTAGTAAATTAAAAAAAGGAAAAGTAACGTCCGTTTACAGTTACTAACAAACGATTTACTGCTCCTTTTCTTGGGATATGCATGACAGTGTAGGTAATGACCTCCTCTACCATGTTCTTTGTTGTCCCTGATATAAGTGGCGTACTCTGAATTCTTCCATGCCAACGAATCTTGATTCTCAAGGTTGTTTTGAAGTGGCTTAAATATATCACATGAAAATCACTACAAAAAAGGTAACTCCTTGATATCCAATTCAAGCAATCACGCACTGATGAAAAACAAAATCCCAACACATATACAACAGATGGAACTTGTCTTCATACTTTTAAAAAAAAAAAAAAAAAAAAACTAGTTGCTCATGAGAAGGTTACTTCCTGATTGTCGCCTACGAGAACAAGTTACTTTCATTTTTAGGTCTATCCAACTGATTATATTCTCTTTCGACAATACAAATCTGAAAAGTTACAGGGCGACCGACGGAGGGATCCTTTGCAGCCAAAGTTATATAATACGTGAAAGGATATTTTGGTAGAACATTTGTATTGTATTTCTCTATTCGTAGAAGCTGGAGGTTCCTCCCCTGACATAGCAAAAAAGTAAGTGAAGAATTAACATGAGGATCGGATCGGAGCAAATGATCGACTAGATTAACGTACATGCTGCGAATTGTATTGATGAAGGCCCATCTTAGCATAAAGGTCCATCTTAACAACGGGATAATCATCACGTCCGCACTTGACAACTCGCAATCCATAGTATGGAGATGGTGAGCCGGCCCTGAACTGCATATTTTTTTGTATTGGCCACAAACTATAGAGCAAAAAATGGGCTGTTTTGCATATTTTTTTCAAAAAATGGACTGTTTTATTTTCAAAACTTTTTATGTAAAAATAAGGGCCACAAGTGATCAACATATATATAAGCAAAAATAAGCTTGGTTTGCTTGGGCCCAAATGATCAACATCGAACCCTAACACACACAATTAGAGCAATATATATATAAGCAAAAATCAGAATATTTAACGAAAAACAAACAACACCTATATAGTATAGTATAGATGATAATCATCTCTCTCCAAAGGAATTACTTACATCGGACTCCATCACTCGACGCAAATACATTGCCATGTCTTCACGATGATCCTCCATCCTCTTCTGCTTTTCACTTCGTGAAAGCACCGTTCTCCCCATATTTCTCACTCAACTTTAATTTCTCTCAACACCGACTTCTGTGACCTAATTCATTCAGTTTTTTCGTACAAACTTTGCTATTTATATTCTACTGGTTTGATTTTTGAATCGGTTATTTCGGTACAGTTTCGGTTCTGTTCAGATTGTTTAAACCGGATTACTTTGTTTTGTAATCACGTTCCATCAAAACGGCGACGCCCTAGTCGTCGTGTCTCTCCACCTGACCAGTTCGTGGCGGCAGTGACAAAAAAAAAAATCATCCGTACTAATAAAAAACGCTTTGCAAAGTTGCTAACTTTTTGGTCTTTCTAGAGAGAATCAATCTGACAGGAAAAAAATTAAGCAATTTTTGTTTGTTGCATTGTATTCTGTGGATTGAGGTGAAATGGCCTCCACCCTTTTCACCAGAAGTTTCTTGGCCGCTAGTCACCGCATGATTACTCCTTGTCTCTCTTCTCTTCTCCCCCAAAAGACTCTCAATCTCGCCGCTTTTCTTAGTGTAAGTCGAATTTGATTCTCGATCTTTTCTTAATTTAGTATACGTTTGATCGCTGCTTTGAGCTTCTGGGTTCTGCTCGTTCATTGGATTTGTTTGTATAATTTGTCAGTAGTTCTAGTGGGATTTTGGAGCTTTCGAAAAGGTTTTAAATTGGGAAATTGGGGTTTTTAATTGGTGATGAGGTCTATATTGCTTGAGTTTCTAAACGGAAATTAGGGAATGTGAATTGCTCAGTTTCGTTCTTTGTTTATAAAGTTGACACTTTGGGTGGTCTTCCGTTTCTTGTGTGGTGTTTGCAGAAGAGAGCATTCCACTCTCAGTTAGGCTCCGTTTCCACAGCCTATAACTCAACTTCATGGGCTCGTCGAGCCATGGCTTCTTCTGGAATTGAACCAAAAGCTGGCTACTCGACATCATCTGTATCAGCCAATGAACCTGTTGTTTCTGTTGATTGGCTTCATGCTAATCTTAAAGAGCCTGATTTGAAGGTGGGTAACCCTGTTGTGCCAGTTGACTTCTTCAAAACTTTGTCTGCCATACTTAAAAACTTATTTGTATCTATTCTTCTCAGGTTTTGGATGCTTCATGGTACATGCCAGAAGAGCAACGGAATCCGATCCAAGAATATCAGGTGAGAGTTTGGTCAAATAGATATACTCTTGGTTCCAAAATTGTATGGCTTGCATTCGTTCTGGATGAGCGCAAACACACTTTAGTACTGAAACAAAAGCTTCTAATACAGTTAGTACACTAGTTGCTGCTTATGGACTTAGACTTTGTCCTTTCCTACAGGTTGCTCATATTCCTGGTGCTCTCTTCTTTGATTTGGATGGAATATCGGATCGAACAACAAGTGTAAGAATCAATATCTTTTTCATTCCGGAAAGATGTAACCATGTTATTTGTATCTAAGTTCTCGACTTCACATTGCTATCACTTTTATGAATAAGTGAAACCTTACCGATATCTAGTATCTTCTTTTGCTGCCATTTTCAAGATATATATACAGCATACTAGATTCAGAGAGCATATAGCTGTTTCTTTTGTGAGATCAAATGAATAATCTCGACTCTTTGCTGTTATTCTTGCTTGTGATGTGTACTATAAATGGTAATCATCTAAGCTACATTATGGAATATTAATTACTTGTAACAGTTGCCACATATGTTGCCATCTGAGGAAGCTTTTGCTGCTGGTTGTTCTGCTCTTGGTATCGAGAACAAAGATGGAGTGGTTGTTTATGATGCAAAGGGTATATTTAGTGCAGCTCGTGTATGGTGGTGAGTTATGGCTCTCGTTTGTCTCTAAATCCTGTTCGTTATTCAGTGTCTTCTTTCAAGTATTGTTGACATTGATGTGTCCTCCTTTATTTCCTCCTTTAAATAGGATGTTCAGAGTTTTTGGACATGGCAAAGTTTGGGTACTCGATGGAGGTCTACCAAGATGGCGTGCTTCAGGTTATGATGTTGAATCCAGTGCATCAGGTGATGCTATTCTGAAAGCCAGTGCCGCCAGTGAGGCTATAGAGAAAATCTATCAAGGACAAACCGTAAGTCTCCTTCGGGAAATGGATTTTGTCTTTTTGTATATTCATGGTGAGATCTTAGTTGTGAAGATGTGTTCTTTCTCGCCATATCAATTTTGTCTCACGTGGTTTCACAGGTCAGTCCAATAACCTTTCAGACGAAGTTCCAGCCACATCTAGTGTGGACACTTGATCAGGTTTGCATTGGCTGAATGATTTTGTCTACATATTGATGTTGTATAAATAGATTATTTCTACGATTATTCTGTCTGTTGAATCACAAATTCAAATCTTCATATAAAAATCCTAAATTTTACCCAGCTTAAAGTTCTTTAATTTGGTCTATATCTTGTTTGTGGTTTTGAAAGTACAACTCAGTATCAATTCTGAAGCAAGCCTTTGGACAAAAGTCAATTGTGAAAATATAATTTCTGCTATAATTTAGTATATTGATAGATTTTTGTCTGTAGATACCTGGTTTTGAGTTGATGGCTCTCTTTGATCAATTCACAGGTCAAGAACAATATGGAGGATCAGACTTTTCAACATATAGATGCTCGGTCCAAAGCCAGGTACTATGATGTGGAAAGTTATCACTTGTTTCGACTGATGAAATGCCTTCTCTAGGGTTGGTTCATAATGAGTTGATACTCATTGTATCGTTTTGATGTAGTAGATTTATGCCATTTTTCACAGGTTTGATGGTACTGCTCCAGAACCCCGTAAGGGAATAAGAAGCGGTCATGTCCCTGGAAGCAAGTGTGTCCCTTTCCCACAGGTAACCCTGAGAGGGCTCTTATCACAAATTCTAGAGAATTTGCTTCCTTTCATCACTTCCTGCCCCTAAGAGTTGATGTGAAATTTTTTTTTGTGCAGATGTTTGATTCTTCTCAAACACTGTTACCAGCGGAAGAGCTAAAGAAACGATTTGAACAAGAAGGTAAGCTATTCATCTCCACTTAAGGATTGAGTTGCACTATCATATTTACATAAAAGCAGTATCTTTAAGATCTCAAGGATTTTTTGGTGCAGACATCTCACTAGAGAAGCCTATTATGGCCTCGTGTGGGACTGGCGTAACAGCTTGCATCCTGGCAATGGTAACTAATTTCATCCACCAATTTTAATTTGAGATCTGATTATAAACGGTGGAGGGGAGGGGAGACTGACTTAGTCGCTTTGCTCTGCTAGGGACTTCACCGGCTGGGGAAAACCGATGTGCCAGTCTATGATGGGTCGTGGACTGAATGGGCAACACAACCAGACTTGCCCATGGAGGGTGATGAATCTTCTTCATGAAAATTGTCCAGGGGAAAGGCTAGCAACAAGATTACAAAAGCCATATAATTATGATGTTTAACTTAGAGGTGTTGGCTTCAAGTAATCAAAATCCAGTTGCTGGCTTAAAGTTTGCCTCAAGAAGTAAAAGAGGACTGTATCTATAGAACTTGGATTTTTTTTTTTTTCTCTTTGGATTCATCTTCGTCACACAAGTGAAAAAAGTGTATTTTTTTTCCGAATAAAATCAACAAACATAAAATTGATAATTTTTATCAATTTAAAACAGAGGTCTTGAAACAGCTACGAAGAAGTATGTTTGCAGATGGTTGATGATTCGAGACGACATGGATTACACAAACACAGTCCCTAATAATAACTGTGGAATGTAGAAACTATTTGAAACGACATAGAGAAGAAGAAAAGAAACGCAGCAAGATGACCGCGTGGCCTAATGGATAAGGCGCTCGCCTCCGGAGCGGGAGATTGTGGGTTCGAGTCCCACCGTGGTCGTTTTTTCTATTTTAAAGCTTTTCATGTTTTGTTTCTTTCTGGACACATCTAGCATGTTCAAACGGTGTTATTCCATCTTTGTAACCAAAAGCAGGATACATTTATTAATTGGTTTTTTCTTTATTCTTAAACAAACAAACCGTCTGACTTAACATGACTACAAAAAGACTTGAGTGAGTATGCACATATTTCACAGCAGTGAACAGAGAGATCTAGCCGGTGCCAGTAACACCAAGATCCTGCTTCTTGTCGTCTTTACCAGCACCAAACACAGGTCCTCCTAGACCAGCAGCATCAGAGACCTTGTCTTGAATCTTATCAACTTGAATCCCACCTTCGTCTTCCTTTGACCTTATATCAAGTTTCGTCTTGTTCTGTCCTCCATCCACCGACTCGTACGTCGTCGCCGTCCTTGATCCCACCGGCTCTGCTCCTTGTGCTCCCGACATTGTTATCGATCTCTCTCCCACCTTTCCCTTTGTCCTCACCAAAACTTAATTTTATATCCTCAAGCCCCCGCTCTTGAAATTCACCACCTGGCCAAGTAGAATCCACACGTGGCAGTTTTTCAGAAGTCTTGGCCCATCTTGCTGGTCACGTGTCCTGAGGGGAGGGCTCGGTTTTGACCCTTCTTATCATCTGTTTTGACTTACGTTTCTTGATCTGCTCTCTATATCATTCTTCATAAGAACTGTCTAATGACGGGTATATACTTGTTCCAATCAATTCGGCAGACACTGGTGAAGAGAAGAATCTGTCTGGAAGATCTAGAACAAGCTCCTCCATAAGCTTCGAAACCATATTCCTGTGTCAGTCAAACTATGAGATTGTGTTTCAAGGACTCGGAAATTCTCAAAAAGGTACACAGACAAGAATTTGCTTTACCAGTTTCTGGAATCCCAGCCGGAAATCAATCTGAATATGGATCGCGTTGTCGGTGAAAGCTTTGTGAAGATGGCTGAGAAATACTTTTGAGTACAGATCTGTTCCCCTGAAACTGAGAAACATATCGTCCATACTTCCACAACGGCCGCGACGAGGATGAGGTGAGTGACTACGCCGATGCTTCCGTGTCTCCTTATGCAGACGCTGCGTTGGTTCTTTTCCACTATCAGAGTGAAGGAGACTTTGTAGAGAAGTCAATAGTAACCAATATAGGGAAAGGAAGAAACCACCAGAGTTAGCAGAGAAGACTGAAGAAGAAAAGACAAATGAAAATTGGTATAACCACATCTTGAAACCGCTGAGAAAGTCTTGAGAGTTTTCCTGCCACAGACCATAATAAGACTCCTATCTGGGGTAAGAAGACCGAGCGAAATAACTTTTTTTTTCTTACAGAATTACAAACTTGTGGTCTGAACAGTCCAAAGCTTACTTCAAAAAAGGCGAAGATAGTCGATGAGACAGTAATGAACAAACCCATGCCATGCTACTGGAAACCCATGCTACTGGAAAAGATCAATATGTAGAATAGTTGAAGACGTTCAATGCAACTACCACTTTATTAGAGAAACCGAACCAGAAAAGGATAATGAGTAAGAACAAGGGACACATAAATCATCATATTTCATCCAAATGGGTGTATACTCTGCAGAAAAATCTGGAAACACCCGACCAAACACAGTATCTTGCTCAAAATAGCCATCCAGCAAAAAAGTATATGTAGGCAATATGATGTATAGGTGCGAAGTACTCAGAAACCTGATCATAAGCAGACCATTCTTCCCTGAGCAATGATACTTTCTCTTCAAAGCTCTACAATCTACAACAAAGATTTCTTCCCATGCATGCTACTGTAAAAGGTCTACAAAATACTTGGGGAAATTCGTCGCAAAAACTTATCTACTAGACAACAAATAGGAGCTAGTAAAGGGAACAAACCCATCAAGAGCCAAAGTTTCTGAGCTTCAACCCACCCGGCAAACTGATCACCAGAGACTACACAAAAGAACTATCCAAACAAAACGTTTCCATATGTAGAAGGAGTAGCAAATACTTGGAAGAAACTTCAGCGTTACCTTGTGCCGTTGGAGAGATAGACATTGCCAGAAATCCATATATTGGATAGTTGAACAAAGCAAACAGAGCCATATACCTTCAGTGAGCACAAAAAGTTGCTAACAAAACCCAACAACATAAACCCGGAGAGAGAAGTAGCATTATGAAATCAAAAAAAAAAAAAAAAGGAAAGAGAGAACCCCAAATCTTTCCTTGAGACAACCAATGAAGAGCTCGGAGATAGCTTGACCTGAATACCCATTAATCTATAACGATCAATAGTAATTCTCACGACACCAGGGCAAAAAGAAACTCATGACACCTGAATCCATCAAAAGACTGGAAGCTTCAAAATAATCCGTGATGAGATAACCATGCAGAGCCTTGAAAGAACTCCGGATGTACTACAAACAAAACAGGTCGAACCAGAAATTCCACCTTGCATCAACCAAAATTACTATACAAATCGAATTAACTAATTCATATAGAAAGAGAAGTTACCATCTCAAGTAAAACTGATTAGCATTCAAACCATAGAATAGATGCAGACTATAAAATCAGAAAAGGTCCAGAAGAAATAAGGGGAAGGAAAATCGATCGTGTCGCCAGGTAAGATAAGGAACCAAAACAGAGAAAAGGAAAAACAAACAAAAGAGGTCACAAAGATGAAGACTGTAGATGAATAGCCATCCAGCGAGCCAAATAAATCAAGAATGGGACTTGGGTCCTTCACTCCTTCAGTACTCATCTTCCCTACAGCGAAGGAAAGTAATTCGTATAAAGAGAAGCATTTGTAGTTAGAAACAAATACACCAAAACAGAGACCAACTAGTATCCCAATGCTTTTCTCTTTTGGAATCTCAACAATCACTAGCAAAAAGACAAGAGTTTTAGGCTCCCACCAGAATCTCAACACATTTCCTAGGAGAACGTAAAAACCAACAGATTGAGAAAGGAACCTGGAAAACCACATATCGAGCCATCGAAAAAGAGTTGTTGGCAAACAAAAATAAGAACAAACCCATCTCGAACGAATTTATGATCCGTCTTACATCTAAATTTGTGTGCACCGCAGAGAGACAGAGTGAAGTATCTGGTGAAAAAGATCTGGAAAACACAATAAGACAGAGCATACTTCTTCGAATAAAAAGAATCTATAACGAAGGAGAGTAAATCAGGGGGAAAAAAATGTAGCACGAGAAACCATAAAACCTAAAACGGGGAAAGAAGATTGATCTGAGCCATCCCGATGCTAGTTGCCTTGATGTTCTATATCAAAACGAGAAACATGTTACGCTTAGAACAGGGGAAAAAGACGGCTTATTTAATATGAAAATTAAAACTTTAGATAAAAAACAGAAACACGTAATAAACCGCCAAAAGAGAAATCGCGTGAAAACAATCAACCAAAGCCGATATCGATCAAATCAAGGATCCACCACAATCTAAGCACAACAAAACAAGAAGAAGTTATTACTTAGATGGAACAGAAAACGCCACCGATGCATTCTAGAGACCAAACATAGAAAAGCAAATACTCCGTGAAAAGTGAAAATTCAGATGCGGCAAGGCAACGATGATCGGATCAGAATTCGCTTCCAAATAAAATAATCCGCAAGAACAGAAAACAAACGAGACGTAGGGTAGAGAAAACGCGTGACAAAGATCAATCGAACTCCATCACCGATCGATCAGAGCATCCTCCAAAATCTAAAATACAAAAGCGATAAGTAAATTGCATGGACAAAAAACCCCAACGATGGAATTTAGAAACCCAATTTTAGAAAGAATCCGTGAAAAGTGAAAACCCTCGTATATAGGAACGATGATCGGTTCCAAATCTTCTTTGGGAACCCCGGGAGAGAACAAAAGGAAGAAAGATGATGTTAGGTAAGGAAACAAAAGTCAGAGGCAAAGAGGAAGATGATGTTAGAGATTAGATTTTCTGAAAGAGGAGAACACTATTTATAGGTGAGGGATAAAAGCAATTGACGGCCAAGATATGAAACGCGTAAATTTTGGCGGCCAAGATTAAAACTACATTGTCGGTAGTCAAACATCTTTGACTATGATCCAGCTGTCGTTCGATGACTTTATTGGTGAAATTTGAACCGTTAGATTCATCTACCTGTCATTTCCTTATTCCAGTAAACAACTGCCACGGTATCGTAGATTTCATGGCCGGCCCAACTATATAAATCCACCAACTTATCTATACGAGGCCAATGTATATATGCTGATAAACCAGAAAAATTGTTGAGTCTTGTCATCAATTTTTCCTCAATTCCATTATTAAGAGATGTAATCAATCCTTTACGAATGAATGGAATCAATTTTGATTCTCTATTTATATTCTTTTGATTTTTACATGAATGTTTTTTAATTTTGGAGATACAAAAACACAGATAGTGGAATTAACATCATTGTTTTAATAAAAAAGAATTCCCTCAATTTTTCTTTTCAAATAAAACTATCTAAAATAATACTCTTCTCTATTGAACTCTATTAAATTTAAACCGTTGAATAAAAAAAACAATTATCAAATTAAAAAAGTGTCTAGAAATGTGAAGAACAATTATCAAAGAGGGTATTATATTTCTCGTCCGCAACATATTTCATTGATATCATAGAAGAAAGACGGACAGACGGTAATAATTGCTTGAAAGAAGTATATAGTCATTATCAATTTTGCTAATGACACCCAAAAAAAAAAAATGAACAAAAAGTAATTTTCAATTGCTAAAAATATTCGAAATCAATGTAACCAGGATCATGGCAACTAGGGTTACTAGTACTAACGCCGTTAGTTTTATTATCACCACCGCCAGTACTGCAACAACCACCGGCACCATTGTTGCTCTTCTTTCCGCCGCCGGTAGACTCTTTGTCCTTGCTCGCGTAACACGCCAAATCCACCGGTTCCGGTACATGCGGCGGCATCGCGCTCCGGATTAGCGCCCAATTCACACCTTCGAAGAAGGGATGCTGCTTGATCTCCGTCGCGCCTCGTTTGTAAGCGATCCGTTTTTGTGGTTCTTTGACCAAAAGTCCCTTGATGAGATCTCTCGCCGCCGAACTCACATGAGGAAGCTCCGGGAATCTCAGCGCCTGCCCAATCACGTTGTTGAGCGTCGCGCGGTTCCCTTGTCCTTTAAACGGCGTCGATCCGTAGAGAAGCTCGTAGATGAAGATTCCCAAGGTCCACCAATCGACGGCACTTCCGTGTCCTTCTCCGCGGATGATCTCCGGTGCTAAATACTCGTGTGTCCCGACGAATGACATCGATTTAACGTTTGTTGGCTCCGCCATGAGCTCCGGCAAGGATCCGTTGACGAAAAGCCCGAAGTCAGATTTCGCCTTTCGATTCTTCTTCGAGGATTGTAGGATCCGCGGGAAGAAGGTGGACGGCTGGGCACAGCCTTGGACCGTCGATTCCTCGTCGATTAGCCCGATAGGCCGACCGCTTCCGCTGCCGCCGCCGTGAACGGAGGAGGATTTGACGAGAGTTGGACTGACTGAGCATCGGAGAGATAAATCGAAATCGGAAAGCATAATGTGTCCGTCGTCTCTTACCAGAACATTCTCCGGCTTCAAATCTCGGTATACGATTCCGAGCATGTGCAAGTACTCCAATGCCAATAGCACTTCGGAAGCAAAGAATCTGTAAGAAATTAAAGAAAACCCTAAATTATATCGATTTTTGAATTCTACAGAGAAATGTTCTGTTTCTTCCTACACTCCTTTGATACTAACCTCGCTGCTTCTTCGGTGAAGCACTTGTTAGGTTGCTTCTGTCTCAAGGAATAGAGATTGCCACCGCCGCAAAACTCCATGACCAAGCAATAGTGTTTATCGGTCTCGAAGTGAGAGTATAACGTGGGCAAGAACGGGTGATCAAGCTGAGACAAAATCTCTCTCTCTGTTTGAGCTCGCAACAGCTTGTTTCTGCTAGCCAAGGAAGCCCTGTCCATCACTTTCATGGCGAAATAGGTGTTGGTTCCTCTAAGCTCGACGAGGAAAACACTTCCAATGTCTCCATTACCGAGACGTTTCAAAAGCCGGAAATCGCTGATCCCGAGCTGGACTCCTCTAGAGGTCAACATATTCACAGCGTCCCATCTTATGTCACCACCTGTGTGTGGCTTAGAGGGATTAGAGGAAGTGCTCTCTATGCTGTTGCTTCTTGAGCTCATATTGCTATTGCTGTTACTGTTGCTGTTTGGTTTGGTGTTTAAGTTTAATGTATTGACCATTTGTGACTCGGTCATGTTGGAACCGGGTGAAGATGGGATTTTCGGACTGGGGATTGGACGGTGGTGATTGCTGAATCCAACCGGCTCTGGTTTTATAAGATTTTCCATCTTCTTGGGATCCAACTGTGCCTTCTGCATCTCTTTGCGTGGTTGTGGAGATTGATGAACGATATCTAACGGTGGATAATTTGAATGATTAGCCGATTCTTTTGGCCCCAAGGATGAGACATGATGACTTGTCTGCACAAGAAAAGGAAAAAGGAACATCATCGCAACTATGGGCTAATAGATATGCAAATTACGATCATTATACTTAAGGAAGCCTCGCGTGTACTCACCTCGGAGGAGTCAAGCTTTTTTCCAGGCTTCGAAAACATCGCCAGCGAGAAAGCACGGCGAGTATTCCAGATCAGAGAAACCTGTTTCAATGAAGAAATATTAAATCTTTTTGTTAAAATGGTCAGTTTGGGTTGAGAGTTCCTTTATTATCCAAATGCGGACATTACTTGGTGTCACGAACGTTATAGCCTCATCTTCATGTCTTGTTGAATAGTATCTAGCTAAAGGATTAGTCTGCACGTCGAGGTACGTATATCTTTGTTTATTGTTTTTTGGTTAAAGAACTGGAGCTAAAGATTGCAACATTTACCTTTCATGTCTAAATTTTGGGGAAGCCATGAAGGATTTTGAACAAAATGTTACAGGGAAATAAATCTTCTATTTTTTAGTGATTCGGTAGTTTTAAGATTTATGAGTTTTTTTTTGTTTGGTAATTTCTTTTTTTTGTGAACATGAGAAATGAAGAAATAAGGTGGGAAAGTAAGGAAAAAAGACACAGTGATTAATTAAGAAAAGAGAGGAAAAGAAATGGGATGGCGAGAATGTATTTTCTGTATTCCAAAGAAAGTGAGAAGTGGGAGGGAGGAAAAGGTCCCTTTCATAAATTTGACGGACAAAGGAATTGTGTTCTCCCCTTGATTCTCTCTTTTATCTCTGTATAGATTTTTTTTCTTCAACCATGATCAATCATCGTTTATTTTTATGTTCTATCAGTCAAACTTCCAAATTTTTTTTATCAACTTGGTAGATGTTATTAATGCTATTTTTCATCGATAGAGTCCTCGAACATTTTTAAAAGTGTTACAGAATTTCATTTGGTTAACGTACGGCCTTACGGCAAACGTTTACATACGTTTTAACAAAAAGAAACATTTACATAAGTACTATTCTATTAGAAAACTATTTTTTTTCCTTTCCATTTATTATTCTATTAATGAAGCCAAAGGTGTAACATGGTATTACAAACACAAACTTCACACCTAAATTACCTGTAAACAACTGAGGTCAAGGCCTAACTCTAAGACACTACTAAAATACCACCGAAAAAGGAAAGACATGAAAGCCGTACACAAAAGTAAAAACTCTCTCACCAATAAAAATTTCATGGAGCTACACCTTGGATGACCAACAACGACATAAGACTGACTACAACTACAATTCAAACTTTAACTTCCAATCCGAAAAAGAGACCAATGTATTTCACGCACAGCTTGTTTGAAGGATGGCCAAACTTGTGGTCGATTAAGAGCTTTCACCAAAACTGAGACAATTACTGCAAATAATAAACTTATGATTATCAAAATAATTCGAGGCCCAGGTCTAAGCCTACTCATATTGGGCATGGTTTAGCAGATTGGGATTTACCTTGTTAAAAAAAAAAAACGCACGCGCATTTTACACGCGTAAGATCCACGCTTCACGTTTCGTGTACTGACTAGTCCAGTCCAGTCCAGAGAAAAGACGACTGTTTCTCCAAAAGTTGAAAATCGGAGATTAGATGCAAGACCACGAAAGTCGACGGTCAACGCCGGCAGAATCGCCGCCGTTACACCCCTTCGTCGCGCCGTTGTCGTATCTATTGGGAACGTGGAGAGGGCAAGGCGAAGGTGAATACCCAACCATACCTTCCTTCCGCTACGGCGAAGAGCTCCGTTTCTCACATTCCGGCAAGGTAAACAATCACTTCTCGCTCCTTTCCTTGAACCCTCGATTCATGGTTTCCTGGATTCGATCGAATTCTAATTGAATCGAGAGAGTCGGTACTATCATCTTCGAAACTGTTGTTGTTGTTGTGTAGCCGGTGATTGCGTATACGCAGAAGACATGGAAGTTGGATTCAGGAGAGCCGATGCACGCAGAGAGCGGTTATTTTCGGCCGAAGCCGGACGGTTCCATTGAAGTCGTCATAGCTCAGAGCACAGGTCTCGTCGAGGTCCAGGTAGCTCCTAATTTCCCTTAGATCATCTATAACGAACTCTGCAAAACTCAATTGTTTCTTGATTCTGATTAAAATCGATCTCAGAAAGGAACATACAATGTAGATGAGCAATCGATCACACTCAAAAGTGAGCTTGTGGGAAACGCATCCAAGGTTAAAGGCTTAAAATGATTAAGGGATTTTGAAGTTACCCAACTCCACTCTGCACTCAACTTTTTCATCTCTAATTGGGATTTTTGTTTGTTTGTTTGTTTGTCTTCTCCAATACAATACAATACAGGTCAAGGAGATAAGCAGAGGATTTGAATTGGTTAATGGAAAACTATCGTACGTGGTTCATATGAGTACAACCACAAACCTTCTTCAACCACATCTCAGAGCCATACTCGACAAGCTTTGAAGCCTGCAATTCTCACGAACGATAAACGCTTATCCTGTAGAATCCCACTGTTTTAGAACCTTTTGCTACCCTTTGTAAGGTTTCCGTTCAATCACATCAACTTGCCTGAATCAAGAACAAGGCTTGACAATTTGAGAGACTTAATTGGGCCTTTCAATAAAAAAGTGAAAATCCCCATTTGAAATCCGTCTTAAAAGGCCCAAATTGTTTTGATTCCATTTGGTAAAGCCCAACGTTAAGGCTTTAAACGGGCTCTTAGTTCGTTTGTTTCTTTTTTTCATCAACGGCTCTTGTCGACTCGTTCCAGAGTCAAGATTAAAATATTCAGAATTAGCCCCTTAATTATTTTCTCTTACCATATTGTACCCTTCAATTTAAAGATTACATGATTAAACCCAAAGCTTTATTGTATTTACATGTTGATGCCAAAGTCAACAAAATTATCTAAGATTGAATCAATACAGCTATAGATTTTGGTTGAATACTTGTAGCCTATAAAAATTGCTATTTATTTTATGCAATCTTACAAACTTCTTATACATACGTAAGCACATATTACAAACAGAACTTTTCTAGATACATAAAAGGAAAATAATAGACGAAAAGAAAACTGAAAAAACTATCATATAGTTGTGAAGCAGACACGTTTAGACCACGGCAAAGACAAAACGTGGCACCTTGTAATTCTCTTGCGCTTCATAAATTTGGATTATAGTATTAAATAGGTTCATATGGTTTTTTTTGGTTATTTGGCATCTTATGCGATGTTGACAATTATACTTGATCCCGAAGCAATATCTACTTTGGGATATATAATACTAATGGAGAAAACCCCTTTTATTTAATCAAAGTCATGTAAGGTGATGCAAAATATATTAGTCGCAATCTAATAAAGAGAAGGTAAAGCTTATTAGAGTTCATTTTCTAGATAGTTAAACTTATAGACTTGTGATATCCACGTATTTTCTGGAACAGTTTTGAAATTATGAATTGGATCTGGGTTTTGGTTGGAAGCGTAGATGGATACAATTAAATATACAAATGTGTCACTTGACACCTAATGATACAAATTTAAAAAGAAAACTCAGATTGCAATAATGGAAGCATATCAGTAAACATGAGATCTCTTAGTCTACAATCTTAAATAATACTTCTTTTCATTTACAAATATCTAAACAACAACTGTAGCGTATAGAAATTGACCATCTCTTTTTTTTGTGGCTAATAAAAAGCTTAAATTCATCTCTTTTCTTCAGAGTGTATTTTGAAATTTTTGCATATAAGGAAAATTATATATGTGTGGCTTAGAAAAATACTTTAAAAAAATACTAAAACTCATTAATTTATATCATTATTTTCAATGGGAAGAAGGAAGCATTTTCTGTGGGTTTTTTTTCATCTGTGGTATTGCTCGGATTGAAGGATACATGGAGAGAGAGAGAGAGGGGCAAGGTCAAATCCATTGTTTTCAACTATCTAATAAGTATTATATTCTATGCTTTTTTATTTCTTACACCCGACCATGAGAACTGGTCCTAACTTCCATTTTTTCCATAAGAACCTTTCATTTTTTCCCGAAAAAATAAAAAAAATAATAGAATTAATGTGTTAGTTAATGCCAAATTAAGATTCTCTTTTTAAAACCTTTTATATTACCTTTTGAAGAAGCACATTGAAGAGAGTTGTGTAAGAATAGATTCCAGATGGAAAAGTTGGCAAGAAAAGATGTTTTAATTTCGTCTGATAGCCTAATCCAACGGTCTATATTCATTCTAATCTCACGATTCCATGACGTGGACTATTATCTACCCTCCATCTGGATCTCTTCCAACCTCTTTTTCTCTCTTTTTTTTTCTATATTTTGCAACTAAAATAAAAAAGGACTAACAAAGGAAGCAAAAATAAAGAAAAAAAAAAACTCTCTGTTCTTCTTTCTTCATCATCAGCCATTACCGTCCTCTCTCTCTCTCATCTCTCTGTTTTTCTCTGTTCCGTATCTGTACTTTGTTTTCAGGTAAAAGGTTATCTTTTGCTGATGTTTTCTTCATGATGAAGAGATTTCTTTTAGTTTTTTTTTCTTTTAATTAATGCTCTCGAGAAATAAACCTTTGTAGAAGTTAGAACAGATAGTTTGATTTTGGTTTCTTCTTCACCCGTGTTTTCAATTTTCTCTTTGTTTGAAAAGTTTCGATAATTTCTTCGTTTTTCTTCAATCAAACACATAAAATTTCTTCTGTTACTTCGTCGTCGCTGGCTTCTCATGTTCCAAAACAGCCTCATAAATGTACTCTCTCTCTCTTTCGCACGCACGTACATACACACACACAAGCGTGCGTAGTCTATGTTGTTCTTATGAGTCTTTGACTTTTTCGCTTGACCTTTATCTGAATTCTATGTGTAAACAACTGTACATACATATATACATCTATATATATATACAGTCTATATGTGCTTAGTGCTCTGTTTCTTGTAATTAGACTCAACAGTCTTATCTTCAAATAGAAAAATATGGAAAAAAAAAATTATATATATATATATAGAGATATCGTTCACGCATAGTAGTAGTTAGTTTTTATCGGTACGACTAAGTATTCAGACATCAGTTCACGTTTCAAACCTGTCTTCTCACATCGAAAAAAGAAATCAAAGAGCAGTAATGTTTGTGTCTACTCTATACATGCATATATCTGTGTATTGATTGGTTTCTTGGTGGATTTTCGAATCTGATCTCTTAGGGAAACGTTTGTTTAATGTTTCAGCCATTGAAGATATGGTGAAGAACCTTAAAGTTGATTCTCTTGCTAAGGTCACTGCCTCCACCACTTCCATGGTAAACATTTTATTCTCTCTTCTCTTTTGATTAAGATGATTGCGTTTTTATAATCGGATGTTTTTTAAACATTATATATGTCTTGTGTTCTTCTTGTTTTGGTCTCTCTGGGTTCAGAAGAGCCAATCAGAGCCATATTATGAAACTCTTGAGACATATCAAGGCCTGCCTTGTCCTTACGGTGGTTACTATGGATTCTACTATCCAGGTTTTGCGTCTTTTTTTTATAAAAAAAACACTGATAACTTGGATGATTCAGATTTGTTTTTGGTGTTCGTATTCTGAATTCGTGTTTTTTTTTTTCTTTTTTTTACAGGTATTGATGGTTCTGCTGGAGAAGCAAAGGATAATGGATACTATGGTTATGGAACAGAAGTTCAGTACCCGGTAATCAAAACATTCCTTAATCAAATTACTTGATGAATCGAGGTTTTACTTAGACTATGATCTTCATCTTGATTTTAAAGGTAATGCAAGGGGAAAATGGATCATTGATCTACTTGATGCCAGGGTTTCAATCTTATGATGCTAGTCCCACTTATATGCCTATAAGCTCGGTTGGTGTATCGAGTCACGCGCTTCATTCATCACAGATGTATGCAGCTCAAGGATATTATCAGAACCAATATGGTTATGGAGGAGATGTTTCATCGCCAACATACTTATGGGATCCTAGTGGAGAAAAGTATGTGTATGGTATTGCTTCAAATAACCAACCTTTGAAACAGAGCATATCTACTTCAAGCCATAACCGCAGCAGTTATTACTCAAAGAGCAAGACTTCTTTCACGGGTCATGGCTTGGGAGATCGGCCTAAAACTCCGCGAAAAGTAACATCTTTTCTTCCTTTCTTCTTCTCTCTTTCACATTTTGTTGAGAAGATTTGACTCATCTTTTTTGTTGTTGTTGTTGTTGTTCGGCTACAGAGCAGCTATGCTCCAAGCTCACTGCATAATCAAGAAAGAGGTGGACTTGCAGCCCCGTTGGACCCGCAAAGGAAAAAATCTGGAGCTTTGAATCGGGATGAAACAGAGAAGGCGAAAGCGAGGAACAAAGAAAATGGTAACAGCATGAATGACTTAGCAAATGGCCAAGATCATAAAATTACAGATGGAGAATGTGAGTCATGTTCGTTGGATGTTGAAGGGAATGGAAGAAGCAACGGTGTAGAATATGTGATCAAAAGGGATCAATATAACCTGCCTAGCTTTCAGACAAAATATGAGGAAGCAATATTCTTTGTGATCAAGTCTTATAGCGAAGACGACATTCACAAGAGCATCAAGTACAATGTTTGGTCTAGTACTCTCAATGGGAACAAGAAGTTAGACTCTGCATTTCAAGAATCTCAAAAAAAGATTGCAGAGAAAGGTGGAAAGTGCCCGGTTTTCCTTTTCTTCTCGGTAATATAGTAAGATTTTCTCTATATCAGTATTCATTTTTTGCGACATCTTTGTGGTCTCTGATCGGGTTTTATTGGTCTCAGGTGAATGCAAGTGGCCAATTCTGCGGTGTAGCTGAGATGACGGGGAGAGTGGATTATGAGAAAAGCATGGAGTTTTGGCAGCAAGATAAGTGGACTGGCTATTTTCCGGTCAAGTGGCACATCATCAAAGATGTTCCAAATCCGCAACTACGACATATAATACTAGAGAACAATGAGAACAAGCCTGTAACCAATAGCAGGGATACACAAGAGGTAAAATAGTTGTTAAGAGGCTCAAGAAAGTGAAATCATTGTCAAGAATTCATCTGATATATGTTTAAACATTGTCTTCCATTTATAGGTGAGGTTGCTACAAGGGAATGAAGTGTTGAACATCTTCAACAACTATGCAGCAAAGACATCTATATTAGATGATTTCGATTTTTATGAAAACAGAGAGAAGGTTATGGTACAGAAGAAGCTAAGATTCCCTCCTGTATCGAAGGTCCTGAGTTTCTCCTTTTTTAGATCATGCTCTTCACGTTCTTTGTATGTTATGCTAACGAAAAATATGGGCTCTTTTCTCTCTTCTCTTTTTTTATTGCAGAAGAAAGAAGAAGACTTGGTTGCTGATTTCCAAACAATGGAGATATCAAATACAGTCAAAGAGGGAATCACAGACATAACCGGGGATGTGAATTAATTAGAAAAAGTTGTAGTGTGTTTTGGTTTGGTTTTTAAAGAATCAATACAAACCGTCCGATTGTTTCGGATTGATTTGATTTAATAACACGTGAGTGGCTTCTTGTTCTATTATTTGTCGTATGGTGTAAGTTTTTTTTTTCTTGTGGTTTTGTGTTTATTATATGTTTCGCAATTTGTAATCATTCGCAATGATATAGGATCTGATTTATACTGAAATCTGAACGCTACCAAATAATATTGAGCCTACTAAAACAAATTAAAAAAATTAAAGACAATTATGATAAATCTTGCAAAGAAAAAGTTGCTAAGTTTTTTCAAAAAAATTGAGGCCCTAGACCCATGTTTCTTATATTATAACATTAGCACGGCTCTGGCTTAACCGGTGAAAAATGTTGGAACATACCCAAAACAACTCACGGCTGGCTCGGGGATTGCCCACGTCCACCACGCGGGGCTCGGCCACCACGAGGGACCAAACGACCTCGTATGTTTAAACCTCGACCACGACCTCTGGTGGCTGGTATAGGAGCTCGAGTTCCTCCTAGATTGGCCGCTCCGGCTTGTCTTATAGCTGCTTTTTCTTTTGCTCTAGCAGATAGTAACACTATAGTTCCACTTGGAGACGCTGCTCTTTTCGTTTCTTCTGTTTCTGGAGTTTCGCTGGGTGTAGCAGAAGCTGGAGTAGAGGAAGTGGATGGGGTGGCAGATGCAGAGACTGTTGTAGCTACTGTGGCCGCTGGCTTGAGATCAGTTTCCGTGGCTTGTTGATTGTTACCATTGTTGGGTTTATCAGAGGTTTCTTCCGCAGCTACATCACCTCCTTCATCGTTCTTAACATCTTCTACTGGTGGTTCAATGGTTGTTTCCGCTTCCTCCATTGCGGTCTCAATCCTACTAGGTGATTGCGTGGGTGTAGCTAGCGTCTCAGGCTGCATCTCTCCTTTCTCTGGGCTCCTCATCATGTTACCTACATCCGTAGTCTCGTCGAGATCTTCCAGTGTATCTAGATCGACTTCTCCTTCTTCTTTATCAAATTCCACGTCTGTCAGAAGATCTTGATTCTCTTGTTCGGTCTGATCCATAAACTCTTCTTCGGTTGGGATGGTTTCCGTCTCCGTTGGAATTTCTTCCAATGGTTCATCAGCTTTATCCTGCACTTCAGCTTCATTTTCTTCTTGTGCTTCCGCAGATTCCTCGGTTTTATCCTCTGCAGTCTCGGCTTCTGTTTCTTCATTGTCACCGTCGGCGGCGGTAGTAGCACCCATGGATTCATCCATGCCCGGCTCTTTAGAGTAGTTTTCACCTTCGGCAGCATCAGGTTGAGACTCGGATCCCTTTGCCTTCTTCGACACAGGTGGGGCAATCTCGGGACTGGTTTCCTCTTGCTGTGGATCGGAAGCCGACAAATCAGCCTGGCGTTTACGGACATGTGTCTGAGCAGGCGGTACAATTGTGGTTTCTTGGCTCTCTGTTACAAGGGAGGAAGGCTGTTTTCCTTCATCACCAGCTCCCTCAGCTTCTGGCATCTCAACATCACCTTGGGGAGGTTCCTCTGGTTTGACAAGTTGAGGACGAATAATCCTCCTACTCGGTCTGCGGAGCTCAGTGCTTGGTTTCTGTAAAGTCAATCTCTTCACTTTGCTAATGTCTGATGATGCTTTGGGTGGCTGCTGGGTAGTTGCCACCGGAGCTTTTGAAAGCGTTGAAGGAGAGGCTCTCGTGATGGCTGACGGCTCAACTGTACCAGGGGAAGGTTCAGTCACTATATCAGTAGATTTTGTGGTTCCTTGAGAATTTAGGGCAATAGTACGAGCCATGCGTTCAAAATAGTCTACAGCTGACACATAGGCGGCAGCTTGGTCATTCAATATGCTTCCAGAGAGAACCTGGACAGCTGAAGTACCCTATTGAAAAAAAGAGAGAGAGAGAGAGAGTTTAGAATAACATCTCACTTTACCTTATTATTTAAAACTTTAAATATACATCCAAGAGATACAAACTTGTTACCTCAGGAAGATTGCCGTCCGCTTGTTTCAATTTCTCCAATTCTTCAGAGAGATGAGCCAATGCCGTCTGATATCTCTCGAGCTTAACAAGCTCTTCTTCCACTTTTGTTTTCTCCTGAGAAACAGATTGGGTACATATGAGCTATAGGGTATTGGGTTTAGGGTTTTCAAAGTGGATACTTTGGAAGAACTAAGTTTTTAAAAATGCCATCAAGACGTGACTGACAAGATACACACAAGAGAGGCTGCAGAGAACCGAACCTTATTAACTCTGGCCAAGGAGTCTCCAAATACCTTCTCAGCAGTCTTGCGTTCTGTTTTCTCTTTAGTTAATTCGTCATCCTTCTTCTTCAGGTCATCTTTTAGTGTATGGACAAACTTATCCAAAATCTGCAGCAAAAGTTCATGTGTGTTAAAGAACACACAGAAACATATGAAGCAGAAATGAGGGAGCCCACAAACAAATACGATTTATTTTAATACCTGAATTTTTTGTTCTTTCTCATCTCTCTCCTTAACGGCCTGCTCCACCATAGCATCAGTTGTTGTTCTCTTTCCAGCTTTTGGCAGCAATAGAAAACATGAGCAAATACCAATAGAAACTTATCCAACCGTATTTAAAATAATAATTACCCTCTTTGGCTTCCTCTAACTGTTTACAGAGTGACTGATTTTCTTTGCTCAAATCCTCCTTTTCTTTGTCGAGCTTTTTCTTCACGTTAGAAAAAGACTTCCTGAACCTATCAGAATCTGCTTTCAACTTAGAGATCTCTGCTTTCAGCTTCTCAGTCTCTGACTGCATAGTAGCCTAACAAAAAGTACAGAGATAAGGTTAACACATCTACATGGGGGTACCTCTCCTTCCAAAATTTCCTAAATTTTCCTTCTCATTCTACCTGTGCTTGCTGAGCAGCGTCTAACCTCTTCTCCCTCTCACTCAGATCTTTTTTGCAGTTTGTTAGCTCCTTCTCTAGTAGAGATATCTTATTCTGCTTCTCTAATAGCAGCTTCTTGAAGTCTTCAATATGAGCATCTTTCCCTTTCAGTTTTTCCTAAAGTCATATCAAGGCGTCGGAAAGGATATGAGGACTAAAAAGAAATGCAGAGTTTAAAACAGTGGGTCAACACTTTTTAAAGCATCCGCGTCATTCGGACACTAACAACCAATATTTTCACCAGAAAATCTCATCAGCCAAAAAGACATTTATCCTACACTAGAATTCTATGCACGCTTGATGATTGATATGCCATTGTGAATCGGCGTCAAATGTAAGAAATGGTATGGTGGGGCTGTTGGAGGCCCCCCAAAACTAGGAGATAAAGGGGCCCCCTCATAAGATCTCCCAGACGTTTCATTGACCAGGAAATACGATGATATACGGTCTCTTACTAACCACCTTCAGCAGACAATGGTATTTTTTCATGAATTTACATTGTAACTTATAGGAATATCAGCACCGAGCACACCCATGAAAAGAACATGACTATTGGAGAAATTTCAACAATGTCACACTATTTAGAGGCATACCTCGAGTTGCCGCACTTCATCTTTGAGGCGATTGTAGTCAGCAACATCAATGTTTCTATACGTCTCTCGTAACTTCACATAACGAAAAGTAACTGTAAGTATGAGAAAAACAATATATGGCGCAAGAATTTTCAAATGGCTTGCCTCATCAACCCTCTTCTTTTGAAGATCTGTCTCCTTCCTTAGCATTTCCATCTCTTTCATACACAAGTCTAACTCAGATTGCTTTTGCTTCAATATGTTTTCCGAGTTTTCAGATTCCACCCTAGCCTTTTGAGCTACCTCACGCAATCTCTGAAGTTTCAAACAAGTTTCAGTCACTCGAGCGAATATAAAGCAGCAGAAATCCTCCAGAAAGTTCCATTACGAACCTGGCATTCGTCAAAATTGTGTTTATTTTCTTCCCTGAGTTGCATGTTGCTTTCCCGGAGCAGGTTCATCTCACTAGCCTGCAAAGAGAACTTTAAAGTCAGCTAATGAAAATCGTATCAATCAACCTTAGTTAGGGAATCCAAAGGACAAAGTCCAAGCAAAAAGTAATGAATTTTGCGAGACACTGAAGCAGCAAGATCACTAGTTCATGTGATATCAGCTGTCAAATCATTCAACTTTACCTGAAGCTGAAGAGATTTGATTTCATCTTCCGTCAATAATGACGCCCTTGTACTGGCCCGCTCAGCATTAAGTGATCCCCGGGCAGATTCTGCCATCTTTACTGCACTCTCAAGCTAGCCAATAACAAGTTGCAAGAAAATTAATAATGCAGCCAAAATTCTAAAGATAGTTTAAAAAGTTTTCTCTTTGAATGTGTGTCTGTATTGAGAAGGGGTGTTGCTTAAAAAGCGATGTGGCAGGCAAGGCAAATGATAGAAAAAAACAACTCACTTGCGATTGCAACCGTAATTTTTCCTGTCTCATTAGTGAGATCTCTGTTTCAGCCTGTCAAAAAAGATGCACAAAACTTAGATAACAACACAGTACGCAGACGGGGCAGAAAGAAAGAGAAACAACCCTACAAAAGAACTTCTCTTACAATTTCCTTTGTTCTGCGTAAATAATTAACTACACTCTGCAAACCAGAATCTTCAAGTTGATCCGAGCCGGTGCATCCAGAACGGCTATCTTTCTCAGCCGAGTGAAGATGCATAGCCTCAAGTCGGCTGTGAAGTAATTTGTTCTGATGCAGAGATCAATTTAGATGAGTGAATATTCGTTACAAGATCATGAATCAAAACTCTACACAAATCATATATGATAAGATTAGAAAACACTGAGATAATCGATGAGAGGTGGCATATTCGTATTGCTTATGTCATATGCATGGTAAACAATATCATATCCAAAGAGTAAGATCCGAGAGTAGTGGCGACCTGTTCATTGAGTTCATGAAACTTCTTCTCCGCTAGGTTCTTTTGCTGTTCTAGCATACATTTCTCTTCACTCCACTTGGAGATAAGCTCTGACTGAAAAATATAAAGAAAGTTAAAAAGTGTCAGAAATCAGCACTTAAGTTCATGTTTCTCAAGAGTTAGCGAATCTAAACAGCGATAATTCCACGGAGTTTTGAAAAACATTATAGTGAAGCTTTAAATTAATAGAGGTTACATTTTCCGTTCCCCTTGCATCAGCCAATTTACGTAGTTCAGATGCCTCCTCTTGAAGGGCTGCCAAAGCTTGTGATGTTTTAGTCAGCTCTTGAATAGTTTCAGACTGCAGAATAACCTGCGTTCCAAAAAGTAGAAAAACAAAAATAGAGGTCACTGAAAGGTCTGAAGGAACAGAGGAGAGCAGAATTACAATATGGCAGTATAACATTAAGTTCTAATAAATTGTAAAACTTGATGCAGAAAATATCTGAAGATATCCCAGGATGGGCAGAGAAATCATGTCCAATTCTAGAATAATCCAATTAAAACCAGCGTTCTAGCAACCAACGTGAATATCCATGATGGTCAGAATGTTTCTTAACAAACCTGTCTTTCATAATTTCTCTGAGCAGCACGCCATTTCTCATGTTCTGTCTCCAGATCGTTCTTCAAGGTAGACAATTGGATATTCATTGCTTCGATTTGGGAACTGCACTCAGTTGCATGATGTCAATTTAAGCATGAACATGTCTATGCGTGCCCACGGGTAAAAAGATACATTGACTACATAATAGAATATTTACTTTTTAACTAAGTTTTCTTCTCTCAGACTTGCAATTTCAGCTGATGCTGATACAAGAGCATCTTCTTTCCCTGCAGCAGCAGTTGCAATTTGCTTGGATTTCTGTATACAATCGTTTTCAAGTTCTGACACCTTCTCCCTCAGAGAAACAAGCTCTGCTTCCAACGATTTTTGTCTCTTTTCAGCCTATAAATAGACATCAGATATTAAGTTAAAACCTACAACAGATCTAGTTCTATCACAATGGACATAGCTGCATAGCGAGATGAAATAACCGTTTCAGCTGAACATAATAACCAATACCTCAAGTCTAAAATTCTCATGAGCACATTCCATCTGCTTCAGCGCAGTTTCATTCACCTGAGCTATACTCTTGTACTGCAAGATGGTCCACACGGTCAGGTCCTAGTGGTGATGAAATCAAAATTAACTAAGTCAATCAGGAAATACCTGAAGCATGTGGCTATTGCTAGATTCTACTTCTCCCCTCAATTTTTCGATTTCTTCCTTGGAAGTACGCAGTTCTTGGGAAATCTAGAGTACATAACAACCACAGCCAAAAGATTTTAACACAGAACCTTCCAACCACCAAATATTGGATTGCTATATAGCAACAAGTAAACATCGTTTACAATAACCTTTGCAGTCTTTACAAAAAGATTGCAACCAAAAAATATGAGCAATACTGTAATTGCGGAATTCAATCCCATCTCAAAATTTAAAGTTTTTAAAAAATAGCTGAAGAACTTCACCAACCTCATTATCAGAAAGAGAGACAGCTCCACCACTGTTCAGATCAAGAGCCTAAAAATGTGGAAATGAAGTTTATTAGAAGTATAAATTAATAGCTGCAAATTCCATCGAGGACTCTGCCGTTTGAAGTAAACCCCACAATTCAATTATTAGAAAACAAATTTATTTACCTTAGGATCTGAAGATCTTATCTTCTTCTCCAAATCAGAAAGTCTAGCCTAATTATACACATTTAAAGAAATAATTAATTATAATGATCAGCCGAAAATGATCATGCCAAATCACATGCAGACACAGATAAAAAGGCAATGTAGTAATCTTATGGAAATCTAGGCGTCTTCAGTAGTAGTAAAATCAATTCGCACAAACCAAATCCCATGCAAAGACTCACTTCACAAAAGCAGCCAACAGAAAAAAAGCAATCTAGGAAAGGTCGAACTCGAAAAGCAAAAGTATGCAAGCTAAGAGCTGGTCATACTAAACGCAATCGGATGCTGGTGAGGTGCAACAACTCGATGTAGTATGGGAGACTAAATTATTAAGGAAGGTAAAATAGACTTGAAACAATACCTCAGCCACAGAGGCCCTGGACTCTGCCGCCGAGAGAGCCTTCAAGGCATTAGCCAATTCTTTCCCCTTTTCTTCTGCCTGCATTAGAGCATTGTTCAAAGTTTGATTGCGGTCCGAAGTGCTATTCCGCGCATTCCTCCTTTCTTCTTGCAATTCTTGTTTAGCTTCAGCCCATTCTTTCTGAGAAACCCCCAAAAATCAGTTGATTTACATAATCATCTTGAAGAAAGTTTATAAATGCGCCAACAAAAAAAGGATTATTAAATCTGCTATATACCTCAAGTTGCTTGATATGCTCCTCTTGTTTCCTTCTGTCGGCAGCTCTTGCTTCCTGAGTATTTTGGTAACAAATTCACTTTTTAATCAGTATTACCTTCCAGTATAAAATTAGTAAACGAAAAACAAATGTGGTTTTATTACCTCACGAACTTCCTCTGTGCTCTGTATAGTATCCAAGGTAGCCTGCAGAACATCAAGTTAGCCAAAAGAAAAGAGTATGCACAACTTAAGATAGAATTTGCAACACTCTCATGTTTCAACCTGAAGACGATAAACTCTCTGAGATAGAGCAGAAACTTCATCCGATGCTCTTTTTTCAGCATTTGATAACATTTCTTTTTCATGTTTTAAAACAGAGACCTATACCACAGATGATTGTTAGTACTGAAGCAAAGAAAATCATAATTTTAACGAGTGTGATTGATATACTACCTCCATAGATAATTTTCTAGAAATCTCTTCTGCTGCATGGAGAGACTCAGAACTCTCACGCAATTTCCGTTGGTGGTCGATGATCAGCTGCGAGAACTCAATGTTTCTTGCCAAAACATTGTTCATTTCTTCTCTCTGATATAAAGACATATAAGATGAGAACTTTGAAGAAAGCACCATCTACACAAGCAGTTGATAATATGAATTTGTTACAAAGATCACCTTCCGTTCAGATTCTTTCATGATGCCCTCTAGTTTTTCCCTAGCAAAATTTGCCTCCATGGCCAACTTATCCCGTTCAGACCTTATCGCAATTATCTCACTCCTAAAATCCAAAGGGGAAACCCAGTTGATAAAATTCTGATGCAGCTAACTATAACAAGCCAGAAGAGAGTACAAGATGTACAGTGAAAATGACTAAAATTATTAGCTAAACTTTATGTATATATATGCCTATGCAGACCATCCAGACTTCTTTCACGTTGGTTTAATAAAAACGTATGAAGATGTATGATATTTCATGTAATTTATATAGGACAACAACATTGGTATGCAGACGCAAAAGCTCAAATGAGCATTTACAGCAATCCACCGGCATGTGCAGACATATTTCTTACTAAGCTTCTGAAACACTACACTTCCCACACTTTATTTCCTTGGTTAGAATATTCAAGTTCTCAACTTGACAATTCAACTAGAAAATATGTTACATATTCAGCAGTAACCTTGTAGACCATACAACTTTCTTGCACAAAAAAGAAAACATACCTAGCCTTCGTTAAATCCTCTTCGAGACTTCGGACGCGCTCAAAAGCTTTTTCTTGGGCTTTTTTAGTAGCTTCCTGGAGCAAGCAATACAGTCCGCAAGGTGAGTCCAAAAAAACTACTTTGATGTGACGAAAGAGAGGACAAGAAAGAAGAGGAAGGAAAGATATAGCAATCTGCCATACCTGTGAATCCTCAAGCATATGTAAAAAGTTCTCTCTTCCTGGCACTACATCAATAGAATACATCTCTGTCAAGCCATTTAAAGCTAGTGTACCACTGAAACTATGTATTTCAGTTTATGAGCAAAGTAAGCAACAGCATGCGAAGCTTCTATACATTTCAGGAAATAAATTATGCTTTAAAGCCAGAGTTCAATTGAAAGCGTACGGCATTAATTTTCATTACTGATAATTGCGATATATGAAAATAAGTAAAACATAATAAGCGAACTTAAAAATCCAGATGCTTCCCAACCCAAAAAAACCTTTGTAGTTATTTCAATCCCAGATGCTTCCTAGCCTAATTTTTAATTTTAAAACAAAAAAAAAAACATAACGAGCAGACTTTGTTGTTTGAATTTGAGATCACCAAATATAGTCAAGATTTCTTGCATCCCCGCTCAGTCTTGATGACATTTGGAGTAAAAATTTGGAAAATATTATAATTCAAAGATAAATCTGAAAACTCATTTAATTAAACTTAACCGATTGAGGGTATAAAAGAACACATGGTCAATGAACTAAAATCGATGTATAGCTCGAACCTGGAGGCAAATCTGAAGAACGAGAATGAGATAAATGAAATTTTTGTTCCTCTTCATATAGTCGTTTATACATTGCAACCTGAAAAGAACGAAATGAGCAGGATATCACTGAATTGAAATCCTAACTCATTTAAGCAAGTTTTGCACTGGAGATTAGTTTTAAGGGTGGAAAGACTTACAGAAGTATGCAGTGATTCAATCATTTGACCCTGCTCTTCAGCTCTCTTTAGAACGATAGCTACCTTGGAAGAAGCTTCATCGGTCTTTTTCTTCAGGTCTATCTCAAACTTTTCCTGAGAATCCAAAAATTCTGTCAAAACCTCACGCTCTAACGAAGCAAAAACTGAAAAAAATCCTTCATACCTTCAACTCCATTTCCCTACTTTCAATCTGCTCCGAGAGACTACGAACAAGATTCCTGAGCTTCACATTCTGCTCAACTAGTCCATTTATATCTTTAAACTTCAGCTGAAATTCATCCCAACAAGAGGACAAGCATTAGTCATCCACAAATTGTTTCACAAGTAAAATCTAACACAAAACATAACCTCGAGAAAAAGAAACAAACTAACAAGATGCTCTGAAATTATTTTATCAGCTTCAGATTCCGTATCCATCTCAACATCAGAGAGCTGAGGATCATCTTCATCATCATCTCTGGCAGCACCACAGCGAAGTTGGACATCACGACACTCCTTCAGAAGTATTGTAACCTAAATCGTGTATACATGCAAAAACTTGCAATTGATTAGGCAACCAACTAGATATATAACTGTGAGCTTAAGACTGAACTATTAACATTGCAAATCATGTAAGTCAAGAAACTGAAGACCGCAACAAATATGCAGATAAAATCATAAGATGGCGAGCAAAGGAAAATAGATTGTCAAAGTACCTGCTTCTGTAGGTCAGATATATCTTTCTGAGAGAGAATGTTTTCACGTTCATGCCTCCTTAAGTCAGCCTACAAATCAAATAAATGCATAAGAAGAGGACAAATATGCACCTTAAAAAGCCACTATGATAATACCAAGTACCTTTAGCTCCATGATGAGCTTCTCCATATTTGATTGTTCAGATACAGAATCCTGAAGTTTTTGACTAATTAGAGAATAAGCTTCAACCATCCGCTCATACTCTCCTGGTAAAAAAACAGATGGCACCAAATCTAGGTTTAAGTATGATGTCTCCAACAAGATTAAAAAATAAATAAAAATCTGTACAGATAAAGAAATCTTCGGGAGCATAAATTGGATCATACCTCTTTCCTCTTGGATGAACCCTACTTTCTCTTCTAATTCGGATAAAACCTAAAAAGCAAGATTAAGGCCAAAGTTTCTAGTTTAAAAGTCAAATACAGAAACATAGCTTAAACGAGAAGCAGGAGACCTTAGATGTTTCCATCAAGCATTTACACACAAACCCCAAATGTCTTACATAAGTTAACAAGAAAAGAATGATGTTATGCTTAAGTGATTAGTAAACTGCAGTTGGAAAAAGTACTAGTGAAACATAGACAAAACGAGACAAAACAAAATTAGATAACAATAACATCAAAACTCAAGAGAGCAAATAGTCCGTACCCGTTGTAGTATCAACTCAGCTTCCCTTCGACCTAATTGTTCATGCCTCAAGGCATCAACAGCCTCTTGATACTTCTCATAAATTTTGGCCAGCTACAAAACAAGAAAAAACAATATATACACCACCAACAGAGTTGAGACACTGAAAAACTAACTAATAGACTAACAGTGAAACTCACACTCCATCCATCACGTAAAAGTGAAGCTGCTAGCGCCGTTCCTGACACACCAGCAGGAACCTTAGAAATTATTCCCTGGCTTTCCTCTATCAAGTTGCTGGTCCCAGAATCGTCAACCCCTCTGCCTCTGGAACATAGCAAGGGAAACATGTGAAGATTTTATCGTCCATGAACACTAGGGCATTTAAAAACCATACTTAAATACCACTAAAATCTATTTCCGTCGATCACACACTCTTAACAAAATCACTTCACAATAAACCCTTCAAAAGTCTTAAACTATTGATAAAGTTTTTAACAACAGCTAAGAATTAAGAAAGAATAAAAACTTGGTGGCCGTTATATTTTGGTCAATAGACCTACATGTTAATGCTAGGGGATCTTAGGCGGGAACTGTAGAACCTGTATGGAAAGTGAATCTCTTGAACCAACCACTAATCCCTACTTTTAATGTTTTCGGTCGATTACAGGCAAATGTAGCAAATATGAGTGGCAAGTACACAAAAACTGCATATATACCATGTCGTCGCGTGGTTGCACAATGGTTTGAGAAAGATGAGTCATACCTTGTGAAACTGCTGAAAGGTATAAGCGTTAGCTCATCTGTTTTCCTAGTTTTCTCAATTTCTTCTTCACACTTCTCCAGTTTTTGTTGAAGGTCTTCGACCTCCTGAAGTTGAAGATAATAAAAATTAACAATCTCTCTATCAAATAAAATAAAAAAAACGCACAAAAGAAAAGAACTTGTAGATCCAAAAGGATGACATGCATCGAAAACGATTTTCTACTTAAAAAAAATTGAGACAGAACTCTGCAAAAAAAAAAAAAGACTGAAATTATGACATATTAGAAACCTATAATATTCTTATTATTTAAAAACGGACGAATTAATTTATTTTAGAAAACAATCAAAGTATATCAAAGGTATCATATCTGATTTTAGGTTTAGTGCAGCAATACCATGGCAGCAAGTTGGCTTACATGTTGCACCCTCAATATAAGTTGAAAAGGATGCAACCTACCTAGTTACCCGAGCTGAGCAACATAAGTTGTTATAAATAAAAGCAATAGAAGTCGATGGTACCTTCTCTAACTGCTGCTTTATAGACACTTCTTTCTCAAGTCTGTCTTTGTTACCACTCTCGACTTGGCTCAAGCGTGCCTGCTTGTCATAATTTCAATTCAACAGGGGAACATACATACACAAAAGATACAACCAATTTCCTCTGATTTGTGACAGCAAACTTACCTCTAAGGCCTTAATGACACCTTCAAGTTCCCCAGCCTTTCTAGACCATTCCTCCGAACTTTCCTTGTACAGCTCAACAAGCTTGTTCGCCTATGTGAACAGCCAAGTAAAGGATTAGATTGAAATAAACAGGTTAATGATTGAAAACACAAAATTAGAAAACTCACAGTGGAAAGTTCAGCATTGTACTGCTCTTCAGTGGTCGTTGCTGCATCTTTGCACGCGCTGAGTTCCTTTGAATACGAAGAAAAAAGAACAAGTAAATCTCATAGCGCACAAAATGATAAGATACAAAGACGTTTGTCGTCTTATGCCATGCGTACCTCTTGTAGTGAACTAATCTTTGTTTCGAGCTCTCTCAATCTTTCCTTGTGCCAATTTAACGAGCTAGAACACTCGTTATAATTTTTCTCAACCTGATAGAAAAAGGAATTAGGAATGACACCGAAGTAAGAAGAGGCAAAGGTAAACAGAAACAAGCATTGGAATAAGCTAAGAAAATTTACATCCACAAGCTTGGCTGACATTTCAGCCTCGAAATCAGAATGCCTTCTCCGGAGTTCAGCATAACTGTCAACTTTGGCTGTTAACTCCTCATCAAGCCATTTGGTATGCCTTTCCATAAGTTCTTTCTCCTATTTTCCATCAGAAACCAAGCCATATGTCATAAAAATTGTTGTAAAAGCATTAACATATATTATTACAAGAAGTTAAGGAATGCAACTAATAATCTGACCTGAGATAGACGACTGCACATAGCTTGGGAACGTGCCAATTCTGCGCCCGCTTCAGCAACTCTGGATTCCTTTTCCGAACTAGAGTCAGTCAGCTTAATCTGAGAAAGAGATAGAACAAGAAATTAGGGTTACACGGTTGAAATTACATATCGCTCGCGCCCATTATTAGTAACTAAGTAGAAACCGCTCACAATTTTATCCAAGTAGCTCTTGATGGTCGAATTCTTCTCGCTAATCTCGGCATCTTTCTGCTCCAGCAACTCCATCAGTTGCCTCTTAGACTTGTGTAGCTCCGACATTTCCGTCGTCATCCTCTCTACCTCTCCATCCTTCTCAATCTACATCAAAACAAGCGAGAATTACGTCCACTACTAGGGTTTACTCAAAACACACACACACACAAAAGCACAAGTACGCACCGATTGCAAATGAAGCTGGTGCTTCTGCGCCTGAGACTGTGCGAGTTCAGCTAAACGATTGTCGAAATCGGACTGAAGTTGTGCATTCTGAGATTCAAGCGAGGAGAAATCCTGAGAGAGCGAGAGGTACTTCTGCTCGAGAAGCGAACACGTCTGCTCCGCCGTGATGGAAGAAGCATCAGCCTTCGCGCGTACACTATCTAACTCTGCGTACAACTTCCTTATGTACTCGTCGGCTCTCTCAGCCACTACAGACGCGGCATCGCCAGATAGCCGCGCCAGCTCTTCGTCTGGCATAAACAAGGGCATCGTTTCGTGCCCTACTTTCTAAATACAACCGTGATTATATATACCTAACGTTGGATTTCTCCGACGAATTAGAGATTACGATTTGAACCCTTTTTCCTCCGGTGAATTTAGAGAACCCAACGGGGAAGATGAAAAGCGCTTCGGGAGAGGTCCAAAAATGATGCAATGTTGAGAAAACCTCAGGCATGTACGTCGCGTTAAATGAACGGCGTCGCTTAACTGTTGGGCCAAACTTTAATCAGCGGTGTTGTTATAATTTGGATAAAAAGTACACTAGGCTTCTTGTTGGGCCTATACAACGTGTACTTAATTTTACTTTTTAATTTTGTTTATTGACAGATATCTTAGGCTCAGTGATCGAGTGCGTGACTTTTATTTCCGTCGATGTGGGACCGATCCTAACTAACGGAGATTGTATTATGTTACCACTTAGATATTATTTTACTATTGTTACAACTCACCAGTCACATTATTTTACTATTGTTACAACTCACCAGTCACGTTAAATATGTTTTCTTAAATCTTTTGACGCCAAGTGGTTTTTTTTCTTGACGCCAAGTGTTTTACTTGTATAATAACGGTATAATATTTTGGTCAAAACTTGTTAGAGAATGAATATTAACAGAGTCGTGCTTATAGTGTATTGCAAAAGGCATTTGCCTTAAGCTCCCAGACAATATAATTAATTTTAGGGCCTCTAAATACATAATATCTTTCATGTTGTAGTGGTTAATGTCTCCTTTTAGTTTGATATGCATCTGAGTTCAGCTATTCAAACTTCACTTATGCTTACAATAACTACTTTTTTAATTAACTTTATATTCTAACTAAAACTTTGAATGATTTTTATAATTGTTTTTAGAGCTGCTTTCTATTTTAATTTTTCTATGCTATAAGTTTAATTATTTCTTTAGTTTTTAAAAATTTATTTTGTTTGTAGAAAAAAAAAGATATATAACATTTATGTAAGATATTTTTCAAAAACTTAGAATTTATGTATAGATTTAAATATATTTATATCATTATTGTTACAACATTATAATATATGTATTTTTAAAATTTGTCTTAGGTCTCTAAAGGTCTTCGCACGGCACTGAATATGAACTAACGTTTTTGGGAAATATTTTCTACGACAAAATATTTGTTGTTTTTAGTGCAAATACTGAAATATATAAACAACTTAATCCAGTAAGAAATAACGAGTTATAACTTATAAAATTATGAATATATACGTATAAATCTTGTGTTCGTTTATTTGATAGGCTGGACTTCAAGCATCCATTATAGGATCAGATCCTGATATACTTTCAACTCTTCCGCCCAAGAAATTAAATTATCTTTGTAACAAAACAATATAGAATTAGCTTGATCAGTAGAAATACACTATAGTTTTTAATTTTTATATGTATGTATTATATATCGAAACAAAACGGATTTAAAATATTGTTTTTTTTTTTATAAAACATATGTTAGATAAAAACTAGTTTAAGAAATAGTAAAATGCCAATCGATTTTCTTTTTTAAGGATGGATTCCGCTTTTGAGTTTGTGTGCAAAGATTACAAGACTAAAGGTTCCATTGACTTATAATACAAGGAATCAAATTACCTGGAGACTTAGTCCCATTGGCTTGTGACATAAGGAATAAAACCACAATAATTGACTTGATAAAAGCGACGTGCTTCAAACGTGAGATTGCTTACGCTCTCACGGAAGGGAGGAAACCAAAACTAATAATAATTGTCTTTTTCTTCAGCATTAAAAAAATGAGTTCGAATTATTAAAAAAATAATTAGACCATTTCTTATAAGGTATGTTTGTGTTCAAATTAGGTTTTTGATGTATGACTAGTTATTCTAATTAATGCTTGTTATCTATGTTTATATTTTCAATGTATAACCAAGATGAGTATAAATGATTTACACTAGAAACACAATTTGTAATAGTGGTGTAATTAAGAAAATTGCAGCTAGAAATTTAAACAAAAGGATTGACACAATCAGAGCTTATATGTTTCTAATCTCCTCGGCGTTTTTTGTTCAAGGTCGTACAAACTACAAAGACGTTACACAGAAAAACGTCATGAACAAAACAAAAAAAAAACACAACGTTCCATTAGTTTAATAGTATTAAGATGATTATAAAACCCTCAAGGATGAATCATCGATTACAGGATCAACAAAATTGTCAAACAAAAGTTTGAAATATCATCAATGGCGAAGAAAGCGGTACTGATTGGGATCAACTACGTGGGAACGAAGGCAGAGCTACGAGGCTGCGTCAACGACGTCCGTCGGATGCATATAAGCCTAGTCGAACGGTACGGGTTCTCCGAGAAGAACATCAAACTATTGATCGATACTGATAGCTCTACGATCAAACCGACCGGTAAGAACATCCGACAAGCGTTGTTAGATCTCGTTGAACCGGCTAAACCGGGCGATGTTCTCTTCGTCCATTACAGTGGACACGGGACAAGGTTGCCGGCGGAAACTGGGGAAGACGATGATACTGGTTACGATGAGTGTATTGTTCCTTCTGATATGAATCTCATCACTGGTAAGTGGAAAAAAATTAGCTTGAAATTGAACTTCTGATTTGTTATTCTGAACAATCATGACATCGATTGTTTGATTGCATATAATTTTGTGTGTATCATGAGATACTAATGGAGATATTTAGATACCTTGATGTTGAGATGTGACATATTTTTCTTATGTGGTGGTGACTCTGTTTACAGATGATGATTTCAGGGACCTTGTGGATATGGTGCCAAAGGATTGTCCCATTACAATCATATCAGACTCTTGTCACAGTGGCGGTCTCATAGATGAAGCCAAAGAGCAGATTGGAGAGAGCACAAGGAAGAAGAACAAATACTCTGGAGACTCCTCATCATGCAAGGACACAGAAGAAGCAGTAGAAGAAACAGATACCAAGGAGATTAATGAAATGGGGAACAGATCTCTGCCGTTAGAGACATTGATCGATATGCTGAAGCAAGAAACAGGCAACGATGATATCGAAGTAGGAAAGATCAGAACAACTCTTTTCAATATGTTTGGAGAAGATTCAAGCCCAAAGGTGAAGAAATTCATGAATGTTATTCTAAGCAACCTACAAGAGACTACTACTGGTCAGACTAGTCAAGGTGATCAGATATTGGGAGCAATCGGGAAACTAACTCAAGAGTTGCTTGAGCAGAAGCTAAACGATGAAGTTAAACCCGCGATCCAAGAGGTCTATGCAGGTGCAATCAATGGTGCACTTCCGGATAATGGTATACTCATCAGTGGTTGCCAAACTGATCAAACTTCTGCTGATGCGAGCCCACCGGGTCACCCGGAATTGGCTTATGGAGCACTAACCAATGCTATACAGATCATACTTAACGAGACAAAAGGTAAGATTAGTAACAAAGATCTTGTTTTGAAGGTTAGGAAACTTCTTAAGAAACAGGGGTTTGATCAACGACCGGGACTGTATTGCAGCGATGATTATGTGAATGCTCAGTTTATCTGTTGAAAGAAGGTTGGATGGTTTTTTTGTTTGTTGATTTGGTTTCGTTTGGAATATCTTCATTTGTTGTTGTAAGTTTGAATTTGAATAATGCCTAAATGTTGTTTCATTCATTGGTTGTCACCTTGTATTTTTATGTTACTGGACATCTGTCCTATCGTTTTTAATTTGTTGGTTTATCTACAGTTTATCCATATATTTTGTTCACCCTAACTTGTGGCACAAGAAAACAATTTATCATTTTGATAGGGGAATGGAAATTATTGGGCATTGGTTTAACAAATAATAAAAAAAAAGGACGTTAAAACATGCGGTGATAAAGGTTGTAATAATTTATCTGTAATATAACATGGGATTGTTTGCGCCTACAGGAGAGGGTTTTGTAACAAGCGCCATTTGCGTAATTATTATTTGTTATTTGGTTATGCGTCAAATTCTTGCCAATACTATTTCTTACAATCTATACAAGTTTTGTACGTTTTAGCTTTTGTTTGGAAGAAGAAACAACAAGCCATAGACGTTTTCTTCCTTCTCTAAACGGTTTAGTCAATATTTGTAGATTTTTGGATTGTTTTCGATTAGTATATATTTTCTACCTTAAATATAATGTAAATATGTAATTGATTACACAGATACCATCATACCAAACAGGATAAATAGGTTGACAAAAAAAAGAAGAGAAATTTAAACAGAATATATATGGAATGGAAATTATAACTAAGAAAACAAAATATATGATTAAATAATACTACTATTTGTTTTGTTTGGTAGAGGCTATTTGTTTTGTTCTTCATTGTTTGGCAACGTTAATTTAATTTAATATTAATAACCAGTAGTATAAAAGCATGTCGAAGGACGAGATGTAATGTAACAGCTGACGATCAAAAAAACAAAAACAAAAAACAAAAAGTAAAAGATTTTGTAAAGCTAGCGGATCTTTAGAGAGGGAGAGAGAGAAGAATCATCAATGGCGAAGAAAGCGGTATTGATAGGAATCAATTACCCAGGAACAAAGGCGGAGCTACATGGCTGCGTCAACGATGTGCGGAGGATGCACAAATGCCTCGTCGATCGGTTCGGATTCTCCGAGAGAAACATCACTGAGCTGATCGATACTGACGACTCTTCCACCAAACCCACCGGGAAGAACATTCGACGGGCGTTGTTGAATCTAGTTGAATCCGCTGAATCCGGCGATGTTCTCGTCGTTCATTACAGTGGACACGGGACGAGGTTGCCGGCGGAGACTGGGGAGGACGATGATACTGGTTACGACGAGTGTATTGTTCCTTGCGATATGAATCTAATCACCGGTAAGTCATGAGTCATTAGATTGTTGGATTTTTCCTGTTTTTTTTTGGTGACAAGTTGAACTTTTTTTTTTATCAGTTTGATCGATTAGATGATGCAAATTCAGGGAAATTATGGGTTCTACTTGTGATTATAATCGTGTTGGAGAAGCAACCATGATATACTGATAAACTATTGACTTGTTGCCATTGAATTGCTACTAGCTCTTTGTCTCATAGATCAATTATTTTTCATGATTCAGTAAGAAAAGGAAAATTGATCAAAGGAATAGATTATTATTCCTAATCATCTGATATTATTAATCTCAGATGACGAATTCAGAGAATTTGTGGAGAAGGTGCCAAAAGACGCACGCATAACATTCATCTCAGACTCTTGTCACAGTGGTGGCCTCATAGATGAAGCTAAGGAGCAAATAGGAGAGAGCACGAAGAAGAAGCCAAAGAAAGACTCTGGAAGCGCTTCAGGACGACATGGGATCAAAGGTTTCGTGCTTGAAGCTGTTGAAGAGGCATTGGAATCTCGAGGGATCCACATTCCTCACCACCGTAAAGATGGGATAGAAGAAACCAAGACTAAAGAGATTATTGAGCTAGAAAATGGGGAAAAGGTCCATCTCGGAAACAAATCTCTGCCTCTGCAAACTCTAATCGATATCCTCAAGCAAGACACAGGTAACGATGATATCCAAGTCGGGAAAATCAGACCAACCCTTTTCAATGTGTTTGGAGAAGATGCAACTCCAAAGGTGAAGAAGTTCATGAAGGTGATTCTAACGAAGCTGCAACAAGGTAAAAGTGAATGTGGGATATTGGGAATGATTGGGAAACTAGCTCAAGAGTTTCTTGAGCAAAAGCTGAACGATGACGAAGATTATGTGAAACCCGCGATGCAGACGCATGTCGGGAACAAGCAAGAGGTCTATGCAGGTGCAAGCAATGGCTCTCTTGCGGATAACGGTATTTTGATAAGTGGTTGCCAAACTGATCAAACTTCTGCAGACGCAAGTCCTCCTGGTAAACCTGAAATGGCTTATGGAGCTTTCACCAATGCTGTACAGATCATATTTGGGGAGACAGAGGGTAAGATTACATACAAAGAACTTGTTTTGAAGGCAAGAAAGCTCCTTAAGAAACAGGGCTTTACTCAACAGCCAGGGCTGTATTGCAGCGATGCTTATGTGAATGCTCCATTTATTTGTTGATAATTTGTATATTGTTTGCGGTTTTCTCAAAAGTATTTGATGTTTCGTGTTGAATAAGTTATGTAATTTGTTTGATGTTTTGTTGTTGTAACATTGATTTGAATTTCAAGTGTTCTTTGTCTTTGTCTATTAGAGCATCTCCAAGAGACACTTCATATCTTCAAATGTGAAGTTTTATGCATTCCAAGAGAGACTTCAAATCTTCAAATTTTGTAGATCTGAACAGTGACACTCTATATTTGAAGTTTTACTATTCAGATCTTCAAATTTGAAGATTCATCTTTTTTATTGCATTTTGGTCCTTATAATTAACTATCTTTATAAATAATGTCTTTATTTATGTTTCTTTATCATTTTAATTTTATAATATATGATAATTATTTCATATATATTTTTTATAATTGTAATTTCAAATTAAAGAAAACAACTTCAAATTAAAACATCACATAAAACATTACAAAAAATAAACTACAAATACATATAAATATAACATAATATTATTATACAGATTTATTAATACAACATAAAGTTCTTAAAAAAAATTACAAGCACACATAAATATTACACAAATTAAAATACTACAACAATACTAATAATCAGGCAAATTTGATCCTGAACCTCCAAGACCACCAAAATATTGTCATATATATCATTTCGAAAGGTATTGATTGATCATATATGGGAGTATTACAGAAATAATGTTAGTGAATAATTTAGTATTCTATTTTGCTATTTCTAATTATGTTTGTGTGTGTTTTTATAATATTAATGATGTTTAATTAATTAATATTATCTGTAATTTTTTAATGTGTTTTTTATTGTTATTTATATTATTTAATGAGTTTAGCTAATTATTCTAAAAAGTAAGGATTATAATGCAAAGTATAAAGTTTTTAAAGTTTATTTTGAAGTATCACTCTTGGAGATAAACAGCTAAAACTTCAAATTTAAAGTTTCTGGATCTTCAAAAATAAAGTTTCTGTTGCCCTTAGTTATATCTATAAGGCAAGTGTTCTTTACTCATACGGTTATGATGTTATCATACCTTTTTCGAGCTGTTGACTTGTCACCTGTGTTTACTCGGATGTGGTATACAGTTATACACATATTTTCTCAATTTTCCCTACATAATTTAGCTAATAAATAATGATAACTATTCCTATAAATTACACTAATGCTATTTTTTCAGTGGATTTGTAACACTGTAACGATCCTTTTTTTTTTCCAACAAGCTCCAATTATACAATAAAACCTCTATAAATTAATACTCGATAAATTAATAATCACTATAAATTAATAAATTTTGCTGGTCCCAAGTCGGGTCAATGTAAAAATCCATCAAATTCGATAAGATAATAAGATAATAATTTTTTTTGAAATCCTTATGGTCCCAACAAAAACATAAATTAATAATGATATAAAGTTATGCAAATATATGTAAATACAATATTCTAAAATATGACTAATGTTTTTGTCTTTACTTAAAGTTGAAATCTCATTGGTTTTCATCTCTCTAATTATTATATCAGTAGCTTTTATTACTATTTTACTATATACATTCAACATTTGTGGTGATTTTTTGATGTAATAATTGATTTTCTTACCTTTAAATGTTTTTAAATGTATTGTAATGTTATCTTCATTTTTATCATCAGTAATACTGATAGCAGCCATGATTTTTTTTATATAAATTTTAAACTTATGAACATGTATATTTTTACACAGTAATCCAATATGGTGTTAAAAACTATTTTATTGTGGTAGTTATGATTCTTAATCATAATTTATATAATGAGATTTGTTAAAATTTTAAAATATAACATTATTATAAAGAAATTTTTTAAAAAATTATATGCGAAAAGCAAATTTTCTCTATAAATTAATAATTATTAATTTAAAGATAAAGTAATATCACGATAAATTAATAAATTATTATAGTCCTAATATTATTAATTTATAGAAGTTTTACTGTATTACCCGATTTAATGGTATTGAAGATGTGGTTGACAACTTGACTTACAAAAGTAAGTCAGTTTATGAAAGAAAAAGAAAAAGATAAACACACAAAAGAAATTTTAAGGAGTAATTAAGGTAAAAATGTACAAAATTACCTATTTCACTAAATTGAAAAGTGACTTTCGTCTATATAACAGATAAGGCTGATAAAGCATTTTGTGTTTTTTTTTGTCGAAGCATTTTGTGTTAGTCATGTAATAACGTGAGTCACGTTACGTGACAAAAATAAAAAATACAAAAAGAAATCCGATGCCACGTCAGATCATACATTCCAATTCGTGGAAGCGCTCATACAGACCAATCAATCAATAAATAAAGAAATAATTCTTTTCACCAAAATGAAATAATAATAACTTTTTGTCGGACAGAGTCGCTCATCCCCTACAGAATAAGCTCTTCGATCGCAGACAGCGATTACCGATCAGATTCAGAGTTTTATCCACCAGATCTTCATCGATGGCGAAAAAGGCGGTGCTGATTGGGATAAACTACCCAGGAACCAAGGCGGAATTACGGGGATGCGTCAACGACGTTCGTCGGATGTACAAATGTCTCGTCGAACGGTACGGATTCGCCGAAGAAGACATCACGGTGCTCATCGACACCGATGAATCCTCTACCCAACCCACGGGCAAGAACATCCGCAAGGCTCTTGCGGATCTCGTCGGATCGGCGGATTCCGGTGACTTTCTTGTCGTCCATTACAGTGGGCACGGTACGAGGTTACCGGCGGAGACCGGGGAAGACGATGACACTGGTTACGACGAATGTATTGTTCCTTGCGACATGAATCTGATTACTGGTGAGTTTCTTTAAACGGAAGGATTTGAACTTTTTTTCGCTCTCTCCTGCAATCTATGGTGTTTAGATTCCAGAATTTGACGCTCTCATCTCGGATCGGATCCGATAATAAGAAGAATATGAATTTTGTGTTCCTGAAAAAAGTTAGGATTAGTTGATCTTTCTATTCGAGACTTTTCTTTTGTTAGATCATTTGAAAAATGAATGAATGAAAGAATATTCGAATCAGAGAATATACGTGTGTTTTAGATACAAAACGAGAAGAAGGATGCTTCTTGGAGTTTGGCTCTGGAATTGTCCATAGATTTCTTTTTTTTTTTTCTGATGTAAATTATGTTGTTTCCAGATGATGACTTCAGGGATCTTGTGGACCGAGTTCCGCAAGGTTGCAGAATGACAATCATTTCAGACTCTTGTCACAGTGGTGGCCTAATCGATGAAGCCAAGGAACAGATTGGGGAGAGCACTAAGAAAGACGAGGAGGAGGAGGAAGAAGAATCTTCTTCTTCGAGATTTGGGTTCAGGAAATTCTTGCGCAACAAGGTGGAAGGTGCTATTGAATCTAGAGGGTTCCACATTAAAGGGAACAGGAAGGAAGAAGATGAGGCGGAAGAAATTGAAACTAAGGAGATTGAGCTAGAAGACGGAGAAAGGATCCTTGCCAAAGACAAATCTCTGCCTCTGCAGACCCTGATCGATATCCTGAAGGAGCAAACAGGGAATGATGATATCGAAGTCGGCAAAATCAGGCCAAGCCTTTTTGACGCGTTTGGTGATGACTCGAGCCCAAAAGTGAAGAAGTTCATGAAAGTGATCTTAGGTAAGCTTCAGGCAGGAAACGGAGAAGAAGGTGGTCTAATGGGAATGCTTGGGAAATTAGCTTCAGGGTTTCTCGAGGGGAAACTAAACGATGAAGACTATGTGAAACCCGCGATGCAGACAGAAGTTGGGAGGAAAGAAGAGGTTTATGCCGGTGGATCCAGAGGTTCGGTTCCGCTTTCAGACAGCGGGATATTGATCAGCGGCTGTCAGACTGATCAGACCTCTGCGGATGCGACTCCACCGGGGAAACCAACTGAGGCTTATGGAGCGATGAGCAACGCGATACAGAAGATATTGGAGGATACAGAAGGTGAGATATCAAACAGAGAAATGGTTACAAGGGCAAGGAAGATATTGAAGAAGCAAGGATTTACTCAGCAGCCAGGTTTGTATTGCCATGATGGTTTTGCAGATGCTCCTTTTATTTGTTAAAAAAACATAACTTTTTTTTTTTATGGATGCTTTTTTTTACAACGACCATTTACCGATGATGATGATTCTGGTCGGGAAAATAAGCCTTGTTTTACTGTTTGAGGGCATTTGTGTAATTTATATGTTTTGTGTGATGTGTGTGATGAGTTATGTGAAACACTGAATTCTCCTTGTTTTATTGAGAAATATGATTTCTTTTTTTTTTTCTTTACAACGATCATCTGAAATTGTTTTTTTGAACCTGTTAACTTTTTTGGACATCTATATATGTCCATTAAGGAAACGTTTAACCGAAACAGAGGAAATATTCTTGTTAGATAATAATATTACATTCATGTTTCGTCTTGCCAATTTGCCATGTAATGATATACACAAAAATGAAAGTCAAGTGTCTTTTCTTTTTTTTTTCCAAAAAATATAAATAGGCATGGGAACTTGGATGTAGAGATTCGAGGGTTGGTGTATTCTTCTTACAAATAGGACAACTAATGGGTTTTTTTTAATGGTCTCAATCATCGATCTCTTGAACCCATGCTAAATCTGCAAGAAAAACGACATAAATCAACAGTCGATATACGGTGTCTCAACTCTCAAGATCAGACTACATGAGAAAAGCTTGTTAATACCTTGTAACACAGTTTCTACAGCTGCATTAGGGATAGAGAGGCCCACTATTCGCTGATTATCCGTAGTAGTCTCTATGCGTATAACTCGAATTCTCTTGTGGCTATGACGGGCCTGCAAAAGAACCCCGATTACACTGTAAGTTTCAGCGCCAACACTAAGGGAGAGTAATTTTGCAAACGTCTTTTTACTTGTTTGGAAAGAGCTTTCTCAATGGTTCCCCAGATGGGAAGAATGAGGCCACCCACAACGTTTACTTCCTGTATCCTCCTTCCAACTGTGCAATACTCGCCCAGCTTACACTTGGGTCCGTGCATACACTGTAACTCAGATAGAGAATCATTTTAATCAATGCACTGCTAATATCAATGGTTGACCCATGAGGCTTAAACTTAAAATACAGCAGGATGATTCTGTGCTAATCTATTTTTCTGCCTGAAGAAAAGCGTTTCTATATATATTCCAGACTCTTATCTTTGATTGAGGAAGCATACCTGTTTAGATGAAATTTCGTACTCGTCTTCCCAACCCGTACGAGCCTTCTCCAGAGACGAGAGTTTTCGGTATTTAGTTTTCAACTCTGAAAGAGACATCTCTCTGGAGAAAAGAAAAGAAAGGAAAAAAAAGAGTTTATACCAGTTTCTAGTCAAAAATATGAAATGTGAAGGTTCTGGCAATGGTTTAGATACCTGATCGACTCTCCTACCGCAGGACGGACAATCTTAAACAACCCAGATGCCGCACTAGGATATCCAAGAAAAACCAAGCAATGAGATTAATTATTTTGTTGGAATTTTGATATTTGTTAACTACATTTGGACGTAATAATATAACTAAAGATTAGAGGGGGTAATAATTCACCTCTCAAATGCTAATATGAAGTGCCGTCTTCCTAACCATTCCCTTTTAGATTCATAAAAGCCATCACTAGCCGAGCCAAGCCCATCCCTTCTCTTCCCCTCTAGCATTGAACTTGCGGACTGGGACATACATCGAATCAAGCTTTTGATTTACTACAACTAATTTACCAAGAGAGGATATATTGAAGTACCTCCCATGTAACTCCACGATCTAGAGTAAAAGTAAAGAGCATAGTAGAAGCACCAGACATTTGATCGACATGGACGGTCTGAAAAATTCAAATATTAGTAGCACAAAATACACAAAGAAACCAATCATCAAGCAAGAAGATATCAACCTTTGGAGTGCTCAGCAGCTCAACGCTATTAGCTTTCATATCCACAATTCCCGAATCAAAACTTCCTTCGATCCGAGCATTGTGTACAAGAACGTCTAATATACTAGTAAACAATTCAAACAACCTGCACGGCACAGGAGACTAAAGCATTAAACCGAATGGAAAAAACTTCTTAAAGAGAATGTAAGTAAAGTAGTGCAAAGCGTAACCCATATGACTACCTATTCTGAATATCAGGTGGCAATCCCAAGAGGCGATTCAGAAATCGTCCAACATCATGCATGTCAGAGTCAATAATTCGTCCTGATAACTTTCCAACATCTTTCCCATTAGCTGTATCATCATCAATGAGGTAAAGTGAAAAGGAGTTTATTACAACTAGAATTTGAATTCAGTACAGAAAAAAATGAATTAACGAGCAAAGCTTACCCAGAACACTGTCCCTAACAATTCCAACCGCAACAAGAGCAGCCCTTGCCTTGATTAAAAACTCTTTAATGGTTTCTGGTTCATCAGTGGAGCACCCAGGAGGAACAACGGGTAGTTTCTCCTGAAAAATAAGCCATACTAAATTTCACGCATTATCCATTATCAATGTCCCAAAATATTCACGAAGCAAAACTAAAGAGTTTAAAGAGGACACAAGGATTAATGAGGAAGACCTGCTCCATTATTCCTCTATACATCACCATCAAGGATTTTTTACCAAAGTTACTGTCATAATTATAAGCACTCAAAGAGGGGCCGGCCCTGCAATACACCACACTGCATTTTAGGACAAAGTTCCTGGCAAGGTTTCAAGTAACAACAAGCCAAAGGAAAAATAACTGGAAAGTGGTTTAGAGAGATGCATGACTTTCCTGCGATCTCCTTGTGTCAAAGCACCAAGAGTTTCTAGTCTCTTTGCAACAATAGAGGCAAAGCGGCGTTCACCACCGAGATTTGTGAAAAGTAGCCTGACAGGGCCAAAAAACAAAGTACTTATCAACTTCAGCAATTGATATCAGACGTTCTAAATTGAAAAGGTAGCAAGTACTTTTTCAACTGGAAAAATACAGATCAAATACACAAACGTTGTCATGTCAACCTATATTCAGGTGCAGATGTCTGATTCGACCGGTGAGTTCTTCCAAATTGCTGAATTGCACGGTCAGCACTCCAGGGAAGCTCTAAAGTCAAGTGAACCCTTCTTCTCTGCAAACAAATATATAAGAAAATCCATATTAATTAATACCCCAAAAGCAGACACGTGAAGTACTTTGAGGCCATCTTTTATACTGTAATTAGGTCTTCAGACCAATAAGGATAGGAAACCCTATAAACTCGACACACCTGATTTGCTGCCCTTCTATCTGCCTGCAACGAAACACCAGCTGAACCAGCTTCCGAAATAATGGCCACAAACTTTTTACCATCCATAAATAATTGTTTCTCGTGCATGTTGACCATTTCCATTGTTATATCCTTTCTAGAGCCAAGAAATTCAAGGATGAAAAGTAAATTACTAGTATGGAATAAAATAAAGTTGTAAGAATGAATTAGAGGCATAAGAGAGCGAGAGAGAGAAGAGTATTAAAACTTACGTGTTTCTCGCTTGATATGTAACACCTTTCCCATTAGACGCTCTTACAAGCATACCTCGCCTGCCTGTTATTTCTGCAACTTTGTCAGGGCCTCCAAGCTGCATTAAAACAGCAACACATATTTAGGAACATTCTTAAGTCTACAATCAAGATGCCCTAACTTGGATAAAGTATAGATACCACTCAACAGTATCCACACAAAGCGTTAGTCCATAAAAAGAAAGGAGACTCATGTACATCCAATAGCTGCTTCATACCTAAGAAAAAACAGAGATTTACAGATGATAGTTACCTGATCAACAATGTCGTCCAAAGGATTGTTCGGAAGATTTAGAGAACGGATAATCTCTAAAATCTTTAATTTTCGTTCCAAGGCTGCTTCATACCTAAGAAAAAACAAAATAGATAACCATTCTTAGAAAGAAAAAATTTGCTTCAATTATACGAGGAGGAAGAAATCAAGAAACATGTTGCAATTCCAGAGTACAGACCTTTTCTGCAATTCCGCAATGTAGAGACGTCTTGCTTGAATGTACTCCTCTGTCTTTTCCTTGCAAGAATGGCATATCCACGCTTCAGATGGTAAATCTGTAACTGGAGGAACTACACAGTCCGGATGAAAAAGCTTGTCACATTCAGAACAATGGAGCAACTTCTTCCTTTCCTAGTTTCATCACAAGACAAGTTATTAAAAATCTCGCAACCTCAACAGAAATAAAGCTATCCAAGTTAAAGCAAAGTACATCTTCCCCACTGCATATCTGACATATCTGGAACTCATCGTCAGAGTCATTAGAATCATCAGCTGAGTCAGCTGCATTGTAAACACCACTGATTAGGAGAATGTTCAATATAAGATTCGATTTATTGAAGAGACAGACCAAGATGATGCAAATTCAACGACTAGGAGATCTGAGAACAATACTTGTATCATAACAAAATAAAATCATATGTTTAGCAATATCATATACCGGAGACCTATAGTAATACATAGGGGCAAAGTTAATAAGCTTATTAGACGTAGATTTCGAGTTAAATAGATACGCTTTGCAGTGCTAAGAGAAGTATATTCAAAACTAACTAATCTTATACTTTTGCCCCTACAGCCTAAGCATCAAGATTGTGTCAGTTCAGTAGGTACCCAGAAGATATGTTTTCACCACGAAACCCACCTTCAGACTCCAAATCACTTTCACCATCACTATCTGGTTTCCACTTTGCCATCTTTCTTACTCTCCCTCTAATTGAAACACCAGGTGAAGCTGAATGCCTCTTCCTATGAAGTTCTTTAACACTTTCATCCTCTGTAGAATTCCAGAAGAAACAAATTATGAACACGATATAGATGCCACCGGGGATTCGAACAAAAACTCTGATAGAGAGCATTAAGTTACCTGAGAGAGGCTCAGGCTGCTCGGGCAGGGGATAATTCTCTTCCACAAATTTTAACAAGAGCTCTCGGGGTCCCGAGACAAAATCATCAAGGTCAACACCCTATTGCAAGTAAAAAAGGGGTAAACATTGTCAATCACGTCGAAGTAGTTAGAAGGAGTCGTAAGAATATACTTAATAATTTTCTGAAAACTGTACGAGGAGAAACGCACATATTTAGTTACAGCCTCTTCAGTTCGCGCCTCTCCGGTACTCTGAAGGCCAATAACCACACACTTGTTTGCTGATAAGGCTTTCTTAGCTAACCTCACAGTTACAGGAACTTTAGCAGACATACACAAGTGTCTAAAGAACCGCTGCAGTAATATACAGGAACTAAAGTGATCAGCCTCTACGACTGAGATGACAAC